GCGCGCACACACAGAAAAAAGAAAAAGAAAAACTCTCACGTTGTCAGTTAACGACCATATCCTATCTCCAATATGCTTCCTTAAGCGAAGTGGCTGTTTGTTGCTTCTAGATCCTCTATATTGGCCCTATATTCTCAACTGGTACTGTGTTATGCTTTTTATTAGCATCTTAGAAGAAAAGCTGTTCTAACTTGAATTTTCACCTTGATACTGATTTTTAGTACGTTATTTTGTACCTTTCCTTTCATTGATAAAGAACGTGTGAGAGAACAGTTTTCCAATATGGTAATCTGGCTGCCATTAGAGGTGAGAGTTGCCTCATAAGTATCTCATTTGGTCTTGAGACGTGTCGATTGCTCTCATCTTTATGTTTTCAAGTCCTTAATCTTACATATCTTTTTTTTCCCCATCACTGCTTATTTGCTGTATATCCGCAAATTACCTATGACCCCTTGAATATAAGCAGAAATTGCATCAGTTCATGTGTAATAAGTTATGAATATGCATAAACTAGAGTCTCAACCCCCCCCCCCCCCCCCCCGGCCCCCCGGCTATGTGCCCAAAAAATAATATAGACATATGGCTGTTTACGACGTTCTCTCTTTTCACCTGTATATTCAAATAGCTAGCGATACATCGTTTTTTAATTATTACGATGATACTGATGCATACTCTTTTCTTCTAAATAACAGCTTGTCGGCGGAAATGCTTCACAGTAAGTATATTAAACCTAATAATTTTATCTGAATAACCTGTAATTTTTTTCATTTGGAAACATATCGAACTTTTACAGGCCATGTAACTATTTTTGACATTCATAATGATCTAGGGGTCCAAGCAAAAATGCATTGAGAAACCAAAAGCGCCGGGAAAAGCAGAAGGAGAAAAAGGCTGCGGAAACAGTTAGATAGCCTATGGCAATTGATGCGGAAGGGCTTTTTGCCCATATACCTGCTGCTAAATCAAATCCAGTTGCGCTTCTGCCCCCCATTTTCTTACTTAGGGAATTGTAGTTGTTGAGCTTTTTGACTGGTCTCTCTTCTGCATCAAACAAATATGAATATATATATATATATATATATATATATATATTAGATATATTTCTTTTCTTTTCACAAAGGGAATTGTTGTATAACTAAGTAATAATAAAGACTTCTTTTAAGTTTTTTAACTGCTTGCGAGTATCCTGACGGGCAAAGCAATGGTTTATTTATGGTGATCACACTTTATGAATGAAATTGCAACTCAATCAATATTGATTGAGTTTGCGTGCATCATCTCTCTCTGATTGTGGTAAGCGCCGTAGTAAAAATTTTAAAAATATGATTGTGATCGCGGTAAAGTTGATAATCGCATTGATGTAAAAGTCTTGATTATACTGAAGCTGTGCTGGTTTCCGTGAGCACACCCCTAACCACTGGTCAAAGCGGATGGTAAAAGGTCACATTAATTTCCTTCTAATTGCATGCATAATAGATAAATCAGTCTAAACTTGAGAATATTGATTTCTTTGATACACGCTAAGGTTCGAGGAGTAGCAAATTGTTTGAAAAAAAAGAAGAGGAAGAGAAAAAGAGACGGCCATCAGATCAAAACTTACAAGTTTCTGATCAACATAGATTAGGAATACATGCAACCAAAACACAGGAAAGTTGGATGAAGAGGTAGAACCCCTCCCAAACATAAATAAATTCTTCATACAAACTAAACCGTGCAAGTGTCCTGCTGAGGTCAGAGGCAGCGTCTAAACAGAAAAATAGCACTAAATTTTTAGGCGCGACATGTAAATTAGTAAATACGCAAAAAGGTAATTAGTCACTACCAAAAAAGTTACCGTTGAAGGGTGAGCGAGAGCTGTACTGTCATGTGTTGGTCCCACCGCTTTTGGAGCAGGTCCTACCACTTTCCTAGAAGACACCAAATTAACATTTAGACCATCTCCAGCAGGTAGGCAAATTTTTACCCTCCCTCTCCTGCCACATCACTTTATTCTCCCACCACATAATTCAATAATACTCATTTCCCTATCAACTCTGCAGCAGCTAGTTTTTCATAAACATTTTTACTTTATTTGGGACCCACCAATACCACATCACACCAACATATACCCCACCATATTTATTCACTCATCTTTCTTATTTCATATATTAATTATGAGGCTATTGCGTGCCCCTCTCCCATTGGACCACCTCTTTTTAATTTTTTTTTTGTTTTTTTATGTAGCTTGTGGGACCCATTCAATTGCTTTTCATGAAATTTCACCGAAGGGAAATTTTTCCCCATCTGCACAAGTTTAGAATTTTCCCTACCCTCTTCCCTAGCTGCTGCATGCAAAAATTGTCACTTTCCCTTCCTGCTGCACATAGTCTTATGGGCAACGGTTAGGCAAAGGGACAGTGCATGACAACTCAAAAGACAATACAATAAAATCAAAAGGCGGACACATAGATCAAATAATGTAGGCTATCCCGATACTATAAATAGCTTCAGGATCGGACACAGAGAGTATGTTGTGAGCGACAACAAACATAGAGCGGAAAGAGAGAGAAAAAGAAAGATGTGTTCGTCTTTTGTGTTCCTTCTCCGGAGTTGAAAAAAAAATCCTCTTTATGTATTGGTTGTTGCTGGTGTACCTCTAGCCAAGTGCTTAGAGAAGATACTTCTGGACTAGGTAGGTCTTGTGGTTTCTAACTTCAGTTGAAGGATTTTCCATGTTAAAATTCTTGGTTCCTGCTGAATATTTCTTTGATAATTTTAAAATTTATATTTGTCTTATTAATCTATTTCATCTATAGAGGAAGGAAGAAAAGTCAATCAATCAACCCCGTTTTTTCCCAACATAATGCATTATCACAAGAAGCAGAAACCGCTGTAATCCCGGAGAAATGGAAAAATAATCCCAGGAAATAACTTGAAACCAATGTTCCTTTTTATGCTCACAACATAATGAGACATTTATATCATAAAGACTTCAATAAAGCGAAAATGTCCAGAAAAGATATCTAAGTCTAGAGGGAAACATGTAAGTAAAATGAAGAGATCTTACTATATATATTGCCCCTGCAGATGAGGATGCCGACCACGGATGAGTTCTTTCTGTAAGTACCTCCGGCTGTGGGTTCTTTTCCTTGAATGCGGGGAGATTGTTCTCCATGAATCCTCTGATGGTATTCAGGCTTCCCAGTCATTACAAAACCAGTCATTTGTTAACAGGGAAAATTTTAAACAGTCCATTAGTATAACCAACAATCTGAAGGAAAGAGAACCAAGTGTGAAGTGTGAACAGATACAAGTTGCTAGTAAAGGCTAGTTAAATGTTCCAAAAATTGTAACACTTGGGAGAAAATTTCAAGACTTTTTAAGTTCTTAAGACATCAGAATCTTGCTCAACGTTTGTGCATGTTTAACACCACCTCGACCACCGCCGAAAACAACAAAACTTTTTAATCCCAATTTTTTGGGATCGGCTACGTGAATCCGACTCTTCCACTTAATTCTGTTGCGGACTATGTCCTCCGTTAATTTGGTCATTATTATATCTTTCTTAAGAGTCTCTAGTCAAGTTCTCTTAGGCCTACCTCTGGTTCTCCATTCTCAATTAGCTATAATCTTGCTATTTTTTTTTTGCACACGATGCATTTAGTGACCTTCACTGTACATAACCAAACCATCTCAATTAAGCACGATGAATGTACTAATTTCTGATTATATCTCTTGTCGTACATCACTAATTTTTAGTAACATCCTCATTTTTGCTATACTAATTTTTCCCTCATGTTGTTTTATAATTGCCCAACATTTCGATCAACAAAGCTTTACGGGTCTTATAGCCGTATTATAGAATTTCTCTTCAATATATCTCAATTAAGCAGGGTGCAAAAGTCAACTCTCTTTAACCCTTGTTTGGATCCTAATAAGAAATTGGGTAATAAAGTTAGGATCTGAAAGTGAAGCAGATTTGGGACGGGTTTTTCTATGGATGGAACCGGGACCCGCTAAACCCTGTATTTTTTATGGTTTTAGTTTAATAAAAAAAAATTCCTTGAAACCATCTTGCAAATCAATACTATATTAATAAAGCAAAACCTTAGTTGCATATTTTTATCACTTGGCAAATTCTAAAGGCTCTAATATTTAATAATAATTCTTTTTTAAACTATCTCATCTTAATCCACTACCCTCCATATTTTGGAGATCCCTATGCTTTGTCTTTTAATTTCCTATAAACAATTCATTTTGTTCTCTATTTCCCCCAAAAAAAAATTCTCTCTTTACCCAAAAGTCTAATATATTCATGAGAATATTAATTTAATCAAACTAGTAGGGTAATTATATAGAAACCATATTTCAATTTCAAGTGAAATTATTTTTAAAATGAGTGTTCGTTGCAATCAACCACCTCCCAATCAAAATTTATCCCAAACGCCCAAAAATTACACTTAAAAAACATTCATTCAAGGCAGATGACTCAATTTTTTAGTGTTTAGGCCTTATTAGCGTACAACTCACATGCATTGAACTTAAATTTTTAAGTCTAATTTTGATATTTTTTCAGTGAAAATTTGATTGGGAGGTGGTTGGTTACAACAAAAACCCACTTTGAATGTAGTTTATACACAAATTGAAATTAAAGATGACTTTTGTATAATTACGCTATTTTTAATATGGTTTTTAGGGGAGAAACCCCTTTAATAAAAGTATTTAATCACTTATATTTAGCTTATTACAATCATATTAACCTCATGCACGTTTATTTCGCGGTGGGCATACTAATGGGCCTCATGGACTAAATGGTCTATATTAAATATCTTATCTTATTGTCTCTAGAGTTTTTTAAAGGTTAAATTAGTAATTAATTCCACCCATTTACCAAGAAGGTATTTTAATTAGGCAAACCTGTTTTAAGGCATTTTAATTGATTCAACTTACCAACAATACCATTTTTCTCGTCGGCGACTAGTTTTTCGATGAGAGCTCGTCACGTGCGTGGCACGTGATGACTTAAACTATTTTTTAGCTACTGATGTGGCACGGATTTTCTGACGTGGTGGTGTTTAAAGGCAGGAATTAACCCTCTAAAAATCCCAATTCACCCAAAATAGGACAGATCCGTGCCACATCAGTAGCTAAAAATCAGTTTAAATCATCACGTGCCACGCACGTGACGAGCTCTCGTCGGAAAACTGGTCGCCGACGAGAAAAATAGCCTTATTGGTAAGTTGAATCAATTAAAATGCCTTAAAGCAGGTTTACCTAATTAAAATAACTTCTTCGTAAATGGGATGAAATTAAAATACCAATATGGATATTTAGCCGTTTTTTAAAACACCATAGCACAATAAAAGACTGAATCATATGAAGTGATATTTTTTAGAGTTGATCCACATAGAGAAAATGTGGAGGAGTTGAGTCACATGAAGTTATTGTTATTGAGGCTTTGACACAATTTCCCATAAAAATAACAACTTGATAATTTAGTCCAAAAAGAATTGTACCACTTTCTTTCTTTCTCGTAGCCAAGTACATATTCTTTTGTTTGACTGGCTCCGCAACATGAATGATCAGAAGGCACTACAAGTTTTTGATTTTAAATTCCTTTTGGTTCTATTAACTTTTATCATCGCATCTATAAATTTCCTAGCCATGATTCCCAAAATATTCAAAAAAATAATGAGTACTCTACAGTAAAATACAGCTTGCACAGTAAAAAAACAAATAATGAGTATTCTGCACTAAAAAATACAACGGACTTTTTCCACAGTAGAAATAAACAATGAGTATTCCTATTAGATTTCTTTTCTGGCCTCGAGTCGCAGAAAAAGCAAAATATTCAATATCCACAAAGAGAACTACAGGCAAACGCACAAAACACATGAACTTGCATCTCAATGTGTAGGCTATAGATATGTCAATAGATATCTCAATATAGGCAAAAGCTTTTTAAAAAGAAGAAAAATAATTACCACCCAACTTCTCAAAAATAACATCTGCATATTTTGTTGACACAAAGGCGATCCTGTTAACTTCCACCCGAAACATCGTACGCTCCTACAAGAACGACAAAAGAACTCGAGATGTCAAGTAGTTCAAAATGCACACACAATCCTTCAGTAGTCATCGTCGTCATCATCAACCCTGGAGCTCGTAAGTGAAGCCAACTTCCTAGGTTTATGCCACCAAGTGGTCTGGGCGACGATGGCTCTCTCAAGCCAGTCCTCTCTGGTATCCACCGTCCTTGTAATGCTCTCCAAGAACCTCTCCCACTTGTCCATGGCTCGTCTCAGTCGCATGCTGGCACTAGCACCGAAGAGATACTTGATGTAGTCTCTTGCAAGTCGTGTCAGCTCGGCCCCTCTGATCAAGTAAATATACTGCAACCACGTAGTAGACGAGTCAATTCCCCCCAACAAAACAATGAAAAAGAAAAGAATGAACCTATATATGGAGCTCTTTATTGAATATTGTACACGTAGGTCAACCAATATTGTTTTTGTGGGTGCATACATGGGTGTACTAAAGAAAAATCCAACACATACTAAAGAAAAATCCAACACACCATCTTTCACTTTTACTTGAACAACTTTCAAGCAAGGAAAGTTTCAGCAATGCAACAGCAACATAAGCATGTCTTTGTATGATAACCTATAGGTTCTATAATCCAGTGCCAAATAAGGAAAATTGTATTTATAAAGGGAATTGATAGAGTGAAATGGCTGATAACCTCTTCAACCGAAATATGACTCAACTATTTAAGTTTTCCAGTCTCAGTATGTTGATTAATCTCCATCTGGTTTATAGCAACTTGGTAAAACTTAAAGTCATGTGAATTGTATTTGGGAAATAACTGGTCCCAAAGTCTTCAACATTGATTGCATAGCGTTTCTAATCCCACCGTGTTTATGTGGTTAGCCAGTCTTCTATAAATGAAGTATAGGCTCCTGTGGAATCCAAATCAGGTCCAAAGAATGCAGACAGGATTAGCAAAGTTTAAGATAAATTTGGAGAAACTCGTGTGTGCACTCGGATAAAAGAAAAGCCTTATTTCATGCTTGGTAAAACTTCCTCTACTAAGGATGGTCTGGGTTAAATTTATAATGTCACTCTGATTATCATGTAAAAATTGTATCCCATATAAATATTGAATATGATGTCTGTTTCAATATGAACAATTAACCTTCGCTACATCCAAATGAACACATTATATTGCATCTATTATCACAGATCCATAAAATATTTAGGATGAAGTCCCATCGTGTATGTTATTTGCTAATAAGATAGTATTAGTTAACAACACTAGAGGAGGGATAATTTCTAAAGTAGAGAAGTGGAGGCAACCTATCAAAACTAAAGGTTATAAAATTACATGGAAAGTATTTTTAGTAAAACTAAAAAAAAAAAAAAGAGCATATAGTACATATTGATGGTCAAAAAATATCCAAAAGAAATCACTTTCGTTATTTAGGATCAATAATTCGTAATCATGGTGAGATTGAGGATGATGTTGTCCATCAAATCAAATCGGGGTTGAAATGGAGGATTGCTTCGTGAGTTTTATATGATCGTAGAATACCTACGAGACTAAAAAGGAAATTTTATAGCACATTTTATAAGACCAATAATACTTTATAGATCAGAATGTTGGGAACAACATGGGTAGAAAATGAGTAGCAAAAATGATAATGTTACGATAGTCTTGTGGGTATACACTAAAAAATAGGATAAGAAATAAGTTAATCTAGTACTAAATTAGAGGTTGCTCTTACTGAGGATAAAATGAGATAGATTCGACTAAGGTAGTTAGGTCACGTACAATGGATACCTCTTAATGCACCAGTTAGAAAATAATAATAATATTATAGTTAATGAGGCAAAAAAATCTAAAGATAGACCTAAGAAAACTTGATTAGAAGCAATTAAGAAGGTTATTGGCTAACTTAATGGAGGAGAAGGTAAAAAATCGAATGAAATGGACGACTTGAGACACCTGGGACAAAGGTTCTTTTGTTGTTACCCACAACAACCTAATACTTAAGACATTCAACATGGGTATTTAGAGGCCTCTACCCGTTAAAACTTGGCCCTTTGGAGGCCATTCTCCAATAAAGATTCTTAAAACTGTCTATTAGATAAGGTGTTTTAGTATCTTTTCCTTTTAACTACCTCGAAAGTCCTTCAGATGTAGACTTGCCTCTAGTTTCCTACAATTAAAACATGTTCTAAAATGGTTATATGCAATGTTTTAAATATCAGCCGATAATATTGATTTATCGGTGAGTTATCGGCTTTGGACCCTAGCCACTAGGATAATTGCAATTTTATATCGGTTATCGTTTTGGGCTGTTTGTTGGCAAAAAATTGGCGATAAAGTCATATATTAGTCAAGTTTATCAGTAAAAAAAATCGGAATTATCACTCAAGTTATGTTTAGTTTGAGTTTGAATTTTAGGCAACGGGCTCATAACTAACACGCTATAAACCCAACCGGATTCACCCAAATACTAAAACCCAACCCTATCTTTTCCCAATTAAATTGATCCTAACGCCTTCTCTCAGTTGTTTCCCTCCCTTTGCAGTGTGTCCTAAAACCCCAAATTGACTTCGACTCACTCCTCCTACGCTCTCCATCAACCTCGACTCCCTCCTTTTTTCTCTCCTCCACTTCGCTCCTCCTCCATCTTTGCATTTATTCTCAACCAACTTCAAGTTTATACCTCAACTTCAAGTCTGACTTCAATCAAGTATTCGGTACTGAGCTCTCCATCGACTTTAATTTGAAGCTGGACTCTGGACTTTGAGATCACCATCTCTCTCCATTGACACTAATGAACGCCCTCGACTTCGACTCTAATATGTTTATAATTTGGGCAAGTATGGTTAGATTACATTTTAGGATATTTTATTATGTATGCACACCATGTCACCATCCAATATGACACCCCGATAAATACTACTTATCCCCGATATGTCCGCAATATCCGCTATCCAATATGGATATTCGCCGTCCGACAAATCCGCGATAACTGACATTTAAAACATTGGTTATATGTTCCTATGTGCCTGCTACTTGAGAGTGAAATGAAAGTTGAGTTTTTGGCTTTTTTTTGGCATACTTTCACAAGAGCCCGTTACTGTTTCCAAGTGCTATTTTGAGCACAGTGGTAATCCTCTTCACAACGTAGAAGACGTTCAGGGTTCAAATTTCACACAGCCTGTTCTCCAAAATAGCAGATACGTCTGCCCCCAAGAAGTCACCAAACCTTTTCAAAGAGATATGAAACCAACATATAACTGTATCCCCTGGTGTACAGAAGAGTATTGTTGATTTCCATGTTAAAAAATTATTACCGCCTATATCATGTATTTGTTGCTAAAAAAAATTAACGGAAGGAGTCTAATCACTATCTGCAATATAAATGATGATAGAAGCGATACTGAGATTTAGCGAAAACAATAAAATATGCAAACTTGTCAAAGGAGAAGTCTACTTACCACAAAAATAAAGCCAATAGTTGCCAAAACCACTTGAAGAAATTCATCAAGAATTCCAGAAAAGCCTTCATCCCCTTCGCCATCAGCACCATCACCTCCGTCTCCTCCCCCAGGACGACCTCCATCACCTCCGTCTCCATCAAATTCATTTTCACTCGTCCTCTTTTTAAGCCAATCTTGCACACTTTCCTCTTTTTTCATACCTCCCATAGCATTCTTCAGTGATTCCCACGGAAACCCCTGAATAAAATGCAAGAAACTCACATTATTAGAATAGAACAGCAAGACAGCATGAAGTACTTCACTAACGTTTCTTCAAATATCAAAATTTCCCCTTCTTTGGAAATTGGGCATAATACAATTTATAACACACGTTAAACTTAAATCCTCCATTTTGCTTAATAGGTTCTTTTAAAGAAAAGGTCTGGGCTAAAATTTATTGATAGTAAAGGATAATTGGTTTACAAAAATGAGAACACAGAGGGGTGGAGGTGTGAGAATACACTAGAAATTTGAATGAGACCATCTCCTTAATGCAGCAACCGAGCAACAAGATCAACCACCAACTCTACTAAATATGAGTAATATATGGTTAACTACATAAACCCATTTTCTACATTCAGCTATAAGCCACCCCCATCTATTAATTTTATTAATTTAACCAACATTCATGGCTACCGAATCATCCTGTATATTACAAAGCCTTCTAAAATAGTGGATTATAGTTTCGCACTAACTGACAATAAGCATATGAAAGTTCACCTAAATAACTTAATATAATCTTTATACCAAGAATAGAATTTTAACTTATCTCAAATAATTCTTCCCTTTATGCACGCTATAACCTTTACCAACAACATCTAAACGGTCAAGTTTCACAACACTACCATGAAATTTGTGGGGTGTTCCGCGCAAAATTACCATAAACTTTCAAAAAAAAAAAAACCATGAACTATTGGATACTGTTGCTAACGGCGTTAACGTCTTCGATAATACATCTGAACTACTCTTATTATATCTATCAACCCACAAGTGAGTAGTTTATTGACAAGAGTTCATGGTTGTTTTCACTAATAATTTTTTTTATGGTAGCCTCGCACGAAACACACTAACTTCATGATAATTTTGTGGTACTCACCCTTTTGAAATCCAAATCAAAGAAACACAATCACAGCATCCAAACAAAAGCGAAACGCGAGTAATTAGTTCGCATCACCTCGTTTTCGCTCTTCAAACCCCCTTTCGCAAAGCAAAGATGATTATTCCTACCGCTCCTCAGAGGAGTACAAACCAATCTCGGAAACTCTAGGTTCCGACCCTTCAAACTTCGTCGTGGATCAAAGTTTCTATAATTTGATGGGTCACTGCAACAAACCAACCTTTGAATATCCTCGTACCTTTTCCCTCTTCGAAAGGGACCTCCAAGTTTCACATTGGGCAAAAACGCGTTGGCTTGGGCGCAGCTCATCGTATAAACATCAATCTGAATGCCAGGAAACAAATAATTGATCAACTGGAGAAATTTTGGGATGGGATTGTAAAAATTTGGTAAAATTTAGAGAAAGAGAAAACCCTAGTTTTGAGATTACCTTTGGGATGAGATCACCGCCGGTGGGGATACGCAGGCGGAAGGAGAAAGAGAAAGAGATCGAAAGCAAAGAGTTAAAAAGAGAGCTGAAGATAAGGCTGGGGTGAATGAGGAGGACGGCGTTTATAACGGGTGGGCTATCGGTAAGCAGGTTCGGGTAATTTCGTATCCGAATCCGGATTCAATTGTTGCTTGTTGGGCACGGAAACTCGTACGTCATAACCGACATTTGTAAATATTTTTGGGCGAGATTTCTTTCTCTTATTGCTTTTATTCTCTCTTCTTTTTTAAAGTAATATCTAGATGCCTTTTCTACCTTGCACTAGTGGCATAATGAATTTGAAACCTAAGTATTTTTACATTTTAATATGAAGATTCGTTGTTAATGGTTTTCTTTTTGAATTTGCTATTTTGTAGAAAATAAAAACTCACAACATTGGACCTAAGAATAATGTTGGGGAATAGAGGAGAAGAGAACGGAAAAGATAGTGGGAAGGAGACGGTGGAATGAGGAGTAATCCGAAAAAATTAAAAGATTGAAGGGTCTATATGTAAAAATTACTTAATATATCACTTAAAAATTGTGCCGTTTGTCCCCGGAAATATCTACTTGTTCACTTTTTAGACTAGACTGGTAAAAAAAAATCACTTTTAAGGCTAAATTTGTATTTTAGCATATGCCAAAATTAAAGAACCACATAAACTTAAAATTGATCTGCGTATTAACCTTTCAGCGTTGAAAAAGTAATGGACCGCAACTCAAGTAACGAAAATCTCATTAGATCTGTAAAAATCTCAATAACAGATGATTTCATACATAGCTACTTTCTAGCAGAAACATTCGCATTCAATATTTCTCGACGCCTTGCGCTTTGTCGCTAAACAAACTAAGGCCTTAGACCTCAAAGCTATAGCACCAGGGGGGGGGGGGCGGGGGGGTCCGGGGTGTTAAATCTAAAGTAAGTATTTTACGAGACAAACTGGCTTCGTTAACTCACTAATCCCTATACCTAAAAGTTAAAAAGTTCAGCCTTCAAAAAACTGCATAATGCAAATGCTACTATCAAATTTAATTGAAGCAAATGGAATGAAAATTAGATGTCATAGCAGGGTCGAATTTACTTCCATCTCATTTCTGAAGCTTCACCCGTGCAATAGTAAGGTCAGAACTCCTCAATCTCAGGCCAGAATTCAGTCGAACCACCAGCACAAGCGCAAGAGCACCCTTGAATTCTTTCTTAACTAATTAATGAGGTCTACAATGTCTCCAGGAAAATTATGCCAACATCAAGAAACAATATGAATCTCTTCACAAACCATCAAAGTACGCAGTCAGAAACTCGACTTGATATGAGAGCATCATATAATTTAGGAGAAAAGATCAAAATGCAGAAGGCCTTTCTTTTCATTATACTCTCACGCGCAGCTTTAGGCATAACATCAAAGTTTCTGTTCTGGTACTTTACATATGAGACAACAAAAATGAACAGAAGATAGTTTCATTGATCCCTGTTCTGTTGTACCTTTGATCAAGCATGGCCTCTTCCATGAAAGCTCCAATGTTGTATAAATAATTGACTGCTCTAATCCTTTTGGTAGAATGATAGCACGAGATCGGTGTGTCCAGAGAAGAGCTGAGTGTCAACAAAGAGCTGCACATGCATGCGAAGGAAAAGAAAACTCAGGGAGATAATATGATGTGTGGTTCCGCTTCACCATTACATTTGAAAAGTCATAACATTTTTTCCCTTAAAAAGGAAGATGAGATACACACATTCAACAGGAAGAAGCATACTTTTTATTGTTGATTACATTGAAACTAGGAGCATGTATTTATTTTCTTAAATATGGTCAACAGCGATAAAGCTAATTATAACAAACCTTAACCAAATAAATGCTCAGTCTAAATTTAGAAGACTATAGAAGGGTGTGCAGATACAATCCTTGGTCAAGTATGATTACCTCCTTTCAAGTAAAACTTCTCATATACAAATAGTAAACTACGTGCACAGGTGAGAAATGGAAATGAGCTTACCCTCATGAAGGGTCTGTCACGATATGGGAAAGAATCAATAAAACTCTCCTTTAAAAGTAAGGATACCTAGAGATTGAGCAGAAAAAAGATAAATTAGATCCTGACCAACATAGAGTAAAAAAATTTTATATCAACTTCTCTCAATGGAAACAACAGCAAGAAAACATACGACCTCAACATTCAGGTTACCATCTAGATAAATATACTATCAAATAATATACACCACCAACATAAGTACTCAGTTAAGAGGAAGGTGCTTGGCAATAAAAAGAAACAAGAGATGTTGCCTTTTGATATAAAAGTAAAGACTCAGATGCAGGATAAACTCATAAGATGATAAGCATATGTGTATGTAGATATACAGATCTATGCATACAACATTATATTATATATTATCAAGAAAACGTGATATATTATAAAGCTAGAGGACTGACCTTATCATTATTTGATTGTACATTGGTGATAGTATGAGACCGTAAGTTTGAGCAAAGTGAATCTAGATAAGATCTAAGGACTGCTAAGAAACCTTTAGCAGCTTCAACCTGTATGACAAGAGAACAATGAATGAGGTTAATTATTAAATGAATAATAAAAAGGACTTGTACAGCAGTAACAGCATTACTACTTCGAAAAGTTTAGCGGATAGGCATAAATACCAATCAAGAAATACACGACACTTTCCTACTACTGATCAGACTAACATGCCTTATGGCAAACAAGTTTATACTAACTGCATAAATCTGAAAGCATATATTGTTGTATCATGTTACATAAATAAAAAACGGAGACAAGTAAACTGTTCAGCTACAAAGCATTTTCATTACCAGATCTGAAGGCACTGCTGTCGATATCTTATCATGAAATATTATGACATAAAGTAAAATGCAAATGTACAAATTGCAGAAGCAGGGTGCATAAGTTGAAACACCATGCCATATAAATTTATAAATAATGTAAATTAGAATTATTCTTGTCAGAAAGTATGTCTCTCAATAATATCATATCTTTGATAAGTATCATTCTTCACTATGGATTTGATATTTAAAACCTGTTATATAGAAGCTTGTTTCAATAAAGAAGAAATAGTAATAATATGAAAAACAAAAAATCAAATTCTTTCACCTAGTAATTCTCGCTGTTTTAATTAGAATATAATTATAATTCAGCTAAACAAAAACAAATGGTTTCTTGACATCTTCTCAATGCACAAGAAACTATCCTTATCAATCCATTAGCCAATTGAGGCTCAAACGGAGCCAATAACTGCAGCAAGCATTTATATTATATATCAAATGAAGAGAAATTCTGCACTTCTTAAACATAACTTGAATAATACGAAAAATATGAATGCATATTTGTAAGATATAGTAGAAATAGAGGAATACTTGTGCAACTATCAAATTTCTAACAGGAGTAAAAAAAACTCAAGAAGCACCTACCTGGACATCTGTGCACTCATAAACTGGCCTTCTTCTGGCTAGGTAGCTTTCACCCACAAGCTTTGTATGGTAGGGGCTTAAAGATGAAAACAACTCTTTATGTTGGGGTAATTGTGGCATGGAGGAAGATTTCACCTATTTATCCCATGGAATGAACATTGATCAGATTGCTTAATCTTACTACTGCAATGCGTTAGAAGATTAAATCTTGCGCGTTAATGATACAATGAATAATCACTATCTATCTCAACAAAGAAATCTTTGCCGGTCCCAGAAAAAATGAAAATAAAATGGAATCCATCACCAAGAGATAAATAATCCACTTAATAGATGTCAAAACTCCGCCAACAAATAATGCTACAACTCTGCAATGCTACAAGACTACAATGCTATAAGCAATTTATTCGTCTCACTTGAAATCAAAATAATTACTATCTGATGCCACACAGTTACTTTAATGATTGTAACTCACTAATTTGTATATATCAACCATAAGCAGTATCTAGCCCTTAGAGGTACTCACCTGATTCTTGTTAACATCAATAAGAACAACATTTGCCAACTTCGATTGCAGCTCGGGCGTCTTGTTTTTTATGCCAATCTATACATGCAAGATAATATTTAAATTCAGTTGAATGCAATATAACTGCAGAAAAAGATTGTCTCCACATGGTGCAATAAACTCCTGAGGTAAAGCTCATGATTTGTCCATTGAAAGGCATAATTAAAGATGCATAAACCACATATAAAAGTATATTTCCTAGAAAAAGGATATGAAAGGCGAAAAACTGAGGTAACAAATACATGTTAAAAGAACTATGTCAGAAGGTAAAACACAGTAAGGGGATTATAATCAAGATTTGAGAGCTGATGAAAAGAGTCAGTCATAAGGAGAAAAGATACCTATAAACTAGTAGTATAATGACAGGTAAGTAACAAGAGTTGGAACTCAATTAGGCTGCTAGAAAAAAAAACATCTTCAATAAGGCAATAAAAGAAATTGCAGTTTATAAGAAACTCACAACATAAGGCACAGGTGCATCCAGAAAATCCAGCATATCGTTTGGCAAAACCTACGATATAAATACAGATGTGCTCAACAAGGACAATTATATATATAGATAATGAAGTTCAGAAGCTGAAACAGAAGTCTTAATTAAAATAGATTCTTTTAGTTGGAGGAAATATTCATATATGACGAAACACCAGCACTTCAACGGTAGGTGAGATTGCATACTGGCATAAGAAGGCTCTCCCACTGATAGGGACGAATCAATGGAATTACTGACAAGACTGACGCAGATAGAACTCCCTGTTAGCATATCAGTCATTAGTTCGTGCTTAGAAAACAGATTACATAGAATGTGAATATATCTATCGATCAAGAAAATATTACACTTCAATCATTCTTTTTGTTATATTTTCTGATAATGATTTCACGAACATAGTATCTTTGTTCTTACATTTTAATTGTTATTCTTATCTTTTTGATAAGATGATAAGAGATTGGATCTGAGTAGTTTTTATTGATAGTTGAGATCTTATTTAATTAAGATCATGTAGTTAGTTGGTTCAGATTTGAGTAATTACAAAAGCGTTTGTAATTAGATTAGAGATCTTTGATTTTTGATAAGATCTAGATGAATGCATGTGATCCCTCCATATGGGTATGTGCATGTACATGCCTGCATGTCTGTGTACATGTATGTGATAGTTTCATCCCATACAGAATTACATCAAGAATGATATTCAATACTAATAGGTGATGACAATCAAACAAATGTATATGTTTCACTAAATATATTTGACTAGCACACATCAAAGTTCAGTAAAGTGCTGAAGGGATCATCATGAAACATTTCATATTTTGCAAATTGACATCGAATAACAAAGAATGTAGTTAAATTATTGAGAGTAAATGAGAGGGATGCTATAGTTTAAGATGCAAATGATTACCTCTAAAATCAGATTAAAATAAGAAAAGATAGAAAGATAAGACAAAGAGGGATTTATACCAAGTTAGAGCAAACTACAACAATCTGCTTCTCCAGTAGCGCCCCGGCAAACATCAACATTACCTGTTATAAAGCAATGGTGACATTTTTTCCAATACCACTTTTCAAACTTGTTAAATATAAAAGAATAAATTTAAGCATATGTGTACATGATTGCCGATGTCTAACACACATGCCGCTTCAAGTGTGTGCATTGAAATCATTTTAGGATTTGCTGCAAAGTAATGCGAGATATTTTGCCTATTGTGAGCTAAGAAGGCAATGTTGTCATTGTACTTATGTAACAGGTAGCTTCTCCCTCTTACTCCAGGTAATAGCTAACATATTAGGATCGAATCGATATTCTGACATGTAATAGATATTTTTAAAAACACTGACCTTGGACCTTTTGCTACAATCAAAATTTCACCTATCCACATTAAATCTAACCAAGTCCATGGATGCGATCCCGGAAGGTGGTGATATGAATTACTGTCCTGCTAGCTACTCTCTCAAAGTGGCCATCTGAACTATTTAGGAGCATGTCAATTTTATCCAAAGTTAGAAACCTAGAATGAGTAAAGGTTGCTGCCTGCTTAATGTCATCAGTCAACATCATTGTTCATGCATGAATAACTCACCAAGTTGTCATTCTGATTGTGACAAGGCTATGTACCAGGACAATTGTTTACCTCTCCCCCTATTCTCTTCATCATCTCCTTCATTATACACTTGTATAATTTATCTTGTGAAGCAATTTACCTACTACTTACATCATCAGCATCAATCTTCTGTTCTAACTTGAGAAGTCTTCTTTGAAAAACTTCTACAGATGTAGGTTCTCTACAATTGACAATTTCTTGAATGTAAGCAAACACTGTCCATAAAGGCCTACCAGACAAATTGACAAGTGGGAGATCATCCATATTAATCAAGCAGTTTAAGTTCATGCCATCAAGGAGAAAGGCAAAACTGTTTCTTGACCAAATTGATTGATGGATATAACCTCCAAAGATTAGCTTCTAAAATATTACACATTTGATGCTGTAGCTTGCTGAATAATTGACACTATGGAAGGTCAATAAATATGTCAGAAGCTCAATAAAGATGTCAGCATGTTTCTCCAGTAAAAAGGTCCCAAATTTGATATACTGAACAACCATATTGGGGACATTCAGCATGAAATCCTATCTGTTCCATAGAAATAGATACCACAGGCCAGGGAAATAACAACACATAGTGGAGAATATTTTCTCAATGAACTTAACACTGGCTTCATAAGATCTACATGATGGACAAACGGGAGTAGACAGCAATGACGAAAGGCCGCGACTTAGATAGCGATTTAGATACAAGGCAGACCAAAAAGTTAGTAAAATTTTAGCATATAATCCTTTCTAGTTAGCAACAATGGTTAGAAATTGGGGGTAATTAAATGGTTCCTTCTATAATGGTTACTCACATGCTCAAGCCTCAAGTTACCACATATGCACGCAACTGTCCATACAGAGAGAGCAGCAGCCTCCTCCTCTGCCAATTGTGCACCATATGCCTGAAAAAGAATACCAAAAGCATCAAATTTGAAATATAAATTGAAGTACGTATTGGAATTGTGTGGTAAAGGTATCGCATTAATAGACCAACATGAAACAAATCGAATAGTAGTAATTGTACCTCAGCCATTTTTAAGCTGGTATTGCAAGATCTAAGATCAATGGAGGATCCAGCAATATGAAGAACTGTTTCACCAGGCCTTTGAAACTCAACAGGATGAAGATGTTCCAAAGGTTGAAAAGTAAGTGTGGAACCTCTGGAAGGGCATTGCAATCGGTAATATTCGCAAATTATTTGCAAGGACCCGTGACTATTTGCCTAGAAATTTAAACAACTAAATCAATTACAGCAAAAGGGAGTCAAAACTGAAAGCGGATAAATATCCTCATACAAACCAAAAAAGGATGCAAAAAGCCTCTATGTGCAAGAGTCAAACCTTTGCCCAGTTAAGAATCTCATTTTGAACATTTGAATCTTCCTGCCCAGAAGAAGATGGCTCATTGATCTCCGTCTCATCCATATCACTCCTAAAATGTCGGTCTTCACTAGAAAAGCCCTGCAGGCTACATTAATAAGCAACACAGAAATTATTTGTTAGTCCACCAACTTGGTTTTAAAAAGAAAAGAAATCATTGGAAGATGACAACCCTGATAGGAGAAAATCAAGTGGGGTTAGGCAATAATTTTGATACCCTTTCAGAAAGGGAGATCCTTGAATAAATTAAGGAACCTCTTAGAAATCAAAGGGTTACACATTGTTGGGAGGGGTTACACAGCAAGTAGGGTGTAAATGGAGCGAGTAGCCTAACACCTTGATCCAAAACTATTATAGGGTACTTGAATCATAAAAATATAATGATAGCATTACTATCAAATCAAATGGAAAGAATTTGAATTAGGATAATTCCTGGATCCACTGGGGTATCCATATCGTACAAAGATTAAAATCACAAGAAATTCTACATAAGCTCCAAAGTTTTCAATCATATTCAAGAGCATAGTTACTTATCCAAATTAAGAAACGCTTGTATATAATTTATACTATTTTTGGGTTTCTAAGGTAGTGGTTTCCGAAACCTAGATAATTTAAAATGGGCCTTCCAAAGACAATATTTTGAGAAAAATCCCCCAAATCCTTTAGGTTGTAACAAATAGACACCCAAAATAATATAGTCCACTGATCAACTAATTATCGTGCTCTATTTAAGTATACTATTAGAACAAATGATGAGGGTGATTCATCCAAGGGCCAAAATACTCCAAGTAGACAAGGTATATAAACTTTACCTGGAGAAGGGTTCAGATCTTTCATGCTGGTAATGCTGGATAAGTGGCAAAACAGCATTTGGAAGATGCGTTTGAGATGGTTTGTTTTCCATGGTTTCATTAAAATAGTCATTATGACCATTTTGCATGGTAGGTCCAGACTCTGCAACCTCCTGTCTTGGTTCTAAATTACTGTCAATAGTTGTGTTATTCTTGCCGTCTTTCTCAGAATTGATTTCTTCTCTAGGCAGCTGGTTACTCACAGAACCACCGTCAGACGACTCCTGCACGGGAGAATCATCCATAGTTGGCTCAGAACATTCAGTCGAGCCCTTTAAATCCTCAGCAGCTAGTTTATCCTGTTGAGTATCTACAGAGTTTTCAAGTGCATTGTCATCCTCATATTTTTCTTCCAAAGACAGCAAATTCAACAATTCAATGCCTTGTGACAATCCTTCATATCTTTCTTCAGTGAAGATGCTGCAGGCAAAAGAAGAGGCATGTCAACATATATGTTATCATTTAAGAAGGAAAATTGTGCTCCAAAACATTTCTATAAGAAGTCTGACTATACTGCTTTCTCTGAAGACAATCTGCTTTGATTTATGCATAAATAGTACCTCTAACTTTTGTATTTTATAATAGCAGAATTTACATGTCAAACAAGCAAATGTCAATGTGGAAAGCAAAAAAGAATATTGATCATAGACTACATGCTAACAAATTGTTATCCAATACCCAACGTAAGTATTAAAGACCACAACGACAAGAGAAGAAGAGCATACTACATATATATTATGACAAGTACCAACTGCAAAGAAAGAGAAGGCAGAGAAAGAGAGATTTTCTTGAGGCAACAAAAGATAGAAAAAGAAAAAACAAAATTTGCCTCTAAATTTTGGTTTTACCTTTTCAGTATATTAAAATGCAAGTCAAAAAATGGAAGCCTTGACAGAATGCAATAGCAGCGAGGTGTAGTTAGTATATGACGGCTCAATGGAGCAGAGAATTTTTGCTCTCCTGAAAGCCTTGAAACCAAAATTGAAGGCCTTTTTATTATTTCTTCTATCAGAAAACAGCATCCATACAAAGTTGAATTATCAGCCACCTGAAAAAATTATGAAACTAGATGTTAGAAGGCCTTTCTTGCCAGATGCTATGATACCAAAAGGGAGGTTTTCTATGAAACTAGTTTAAAGATAAGAGCATGCGTCTCCAATATAGCCATAGGAAAGCTCAGCAAAACATGATGATTTAAGCAACAATAAGCATGTAAACTAAGAGACAAATATAAGAATGCACACAATCAATCTTTCAGCAAGCTGATCTGACAATTCTCCCATGAAATATTGCACATACTACATACAGTAATTGGAGGAGACGTGTAAGTACTATTCCAGTTACACTTATAAGTTTAGAAGGATAATTTCAGACAACCCCCTCTTCCCATTAATTGAGGGTAATACATGCTAATAAATGAGATGAGGGGCGATTAAGTCCTACCGAAGTTATAGATGATGCAATGTACCCTAAATTTAAAGTTGAAACTAAAAATAAAACTTAAACAGTAAAATTGTTTTTTGGCAAACAGAGAGCATAGGATACTAACTACTAAGTTTATGCATGCATATGTTTCAGCCTTTTAGGAGATCAAAAGTTTGGAGCATTGTAAATTGTAAACGGCGGACATAGATGGACATGTATGTTGTTGCATCCAACAATGATAACACCACCAAATTTAGGTAGGGGAGAAGTACCTAAAATCAGAAAGAAATTCTATTACCAGATTTACAATCGCAAACTCACCTGAAAATAGGAAACAACAGTTCCAGACAATTTTGAAAACCTTAGTTCCAAGGTCACTACATCCTTAAGTCTATACATATGTATTGTTGAGGAGAATAAAGGTCTTGAGTTTTGAAAAATAATAATGAGATCATTATTATTTTTCAAATTCATGTGTTACTTAAATTTAAATTGCTATTGTATTTTAAAGTTTCTTTTATTATAAATTGAAAATAGCTTGTTTTTCACTACACTCAAACCGCCCTTTTAAATCATAGTTTTTAACTTGCCCTTTTAAATCATAGTTTTTAACTTGAATATAGGCTGAAGCAAACCTGACCCATGTCTAACGAGTTTCAATAAATGGACATCAAGCGTAGGATATACATCCAAGAAGTGTATGCGAACTGTTTTAATCCAAAGAGTGCCCATGAAATTTGGTACGAGTATGGGTAAGGCTTCATCGTAGAAGTACTTGGCGAACATAGCAACCAACAATGGTAACACCAAATTTGGGTAGAGAGTAGTAGATAAAATCAGAAACAAATTCTATTACAGAGTTACTATGGCAAATTCACCTGAAAATAGGAGACAACGGTCCCATACAATTTTTAAAACCATGGTTCCAAAGTTCATCCTCACTCAGGTGCTTTTCAAGAGCCTTCACTTATCTATACCAAAGGTTTTCCTCTGGTGAGATCTAAGAGTGCTTGTAGATATAGATACAAAACAAAAGAAGGGAATATGATCGAGCTGCAGTAAGTAAATTCTGCAACCAGACTTGCAACAAGCAAAATTTCGAATCACATAACATTGGTATATAAGTTTACTATTACACTCCATGTCTTAAACAAATATATAGAATTAATTGACCTTCAGCAAGTATACTATCTACTGCAGCAGAACAACAATGTGAATTAAAATGACAGATAAGTTAGACAAAGGTAAGCATAAATACCTGTAAGCGAAATACAAAAGACACATCACTTTGCTTTAGTTGTTCCTGCGATATTAGATACACAATTAGTTGCATGACTCAGCAAAACATCAAAGCAAATAACAAATCATAAACACTCAAATAGAACTAACTGTTATGAAGGTTAAGGAGACAAAATGCTATCTACAGAAATAAGAAGTGAAAGAAAGAACATGCATTCAGAAAGACGTTTTACCTGTCCAACAAGTATTTGATTTAGCTCACTCAAGGAAGGAGTTCTTTCCACAGCTCGAACCTAGAAAAACCGGAATAATAATTTAGATATTATAATCGGAAGTTAATCTTCCAACGTGTGTAGAATGTATATAACAAATAAATTTGCACTTATATACCCCCATTTGAATTTGGTAGCAAGAAAATATCCTAAAGTTTTTTAAATTTGCACTTATGTACCCTCACTTTTTGGTAGAACTTATATACCCTAGAGTTTTTAAATCTGGCACTTAAATACCCGAAAGTTTTTAAACCTGGCACTTTAATACCTCAAGTTTGCATACCTGAGGGTATTTATGTGTAAATTTTAAAAACTTTAGGGTTTAAATACTAATTGTAAAAACTTTAGGGCATTTAAGTGCCGCCAAAAAAAGTCAGGGCATATAAGTGCAAGTGTAAAAAACTTTAGGGTATAGTTTTGCTACCAAATAAACATTGGGTTATATAAGTGAAAAGTAGGTGAAACAATAGGATCTGTAAGTGCTATTTAGCCAAATAAATATGATCAACCTGAGAGACAAGCCTATCAATCTCACAGTGAAGATATTCAAAATTGTCAATCAAGCAAATGAAGGCACTAACTAGAGCGTGAGAAACAATGCACGCGTGGATTCTGTAGTAATTTCATTATTGTAACGCTAATTCTTCAAGGTTGGAATTTGATTGCATGGAGTCACTTATTGCCCCTCTAGATGTTGCAAAATTCATCTCATACACCCATCCTTTATAATAAATGAGAAACTGTACACTCCTCCAGTTGCAGGTGTTCAAAATCTAAGACTCTTATGGAATTATTCAAACTTCAACTTTTATTACTTCAAATCCGTGTTCTTAAATGACATCTCTTGTAGCCACTTTATTTACTTTGCTATTCTTTTTTTTTCACTCTCAAATTTAACTTCATCCTGTGTTGTTTTTGACCAAAGGGAAGCTTCTAAAGCTGCCTCGTTAACATTACTAAGTATAAAGGAAACAAATTAGTATTTAACATTGTTAAGGAAAGATCAGTCATCCTTTATCAAGATATGTAATCCTGTTCTAATTTTAGTCATTATATAATTGCCATCGTGATATCACGGCCAACTATCTACGACCAGTTGTCCATGTTCTTCACTAAGCCTACCTACCAGAAGAAAACATCCACAAATGTCTTAAGCTTTTACAGATTTTCCATTTAGGCATTGCATCAATGTATCTTTTCCATTTAGGCATTGCATCAATGTATCTTTACGTTTCTTGTTTATTTTGACCAATACTTGGTACTCACAAGGAGCCTTCATATTTATGTTTATCATTGTCATGGAGATTTTTCTTAATTTCTATATTGGTTTTATTAGGTAAGCAATTTCTTATTTGCCAACTTTTTCCAATTTTTTGTTTGCTTCTTCTATTGTCCATTTCTTTTTTTTTAGAAAATGATTTCTCCCCCTAAACCATTGAAGCCTATGCGGCTATGCCTCACCTTGTTGTCTTTACTTTCCACAATATTGGCCTCGAGCATTTTCTTCCTGCAGTACCAGACTGCACCTACTTGCTTGTTCTCTAGCCGCTTGCTAATTTTGTTATTTATCAGGCTACCTCTATGTGCCTCTAATATCCTCTCCCCCGTTGTCACAGATGAATATCCTGCCTCATGTCAACATAGCTAAAGAACTTGTGCTTTAATCTGAGCACTATATTGTGCAGTCTTTTCATTGTGCTACCTCATGCCTGATAAGGCAAGGACCAGTATCGTTTCCGTTCATTACTTTGGACTTGCAATACAACAACTTTAAACAAACTGCCATTTCAATATTCCCTTATGATGCCTTTCCGTCCATTTAAACAAAGTGCTGATTCAAAACAGACTGCTGATTCACTATAGCTATAGGATGACCATGATCCATTGTAATACTTTTTTGAGTTTTTCTTTTACTGCTTAATCCTATGTCTATCTCTTTTTCTCTCCATTCCCTTTCCTATTATGGTAGGCTTGGAGAGGGGATGTTGTAGTATTAAAATCCAAACAACGTCTCTTCCCTGATTTCCATTTTAACAGATGTGGCCTTGTTATCAGCATTGTTTTCTCTAGTTCAATTTGCGGGTAGTGGGCATATGGTTCCAATCATTGTTCTTAAGTATATACACTTAACATATATGAATTTTATTTTGTCGCATCTTTAGACACAAACAAATTGATGTAACCTCATCAGTCATCAAGGTTATATTGGCTAAATACTTCCTGAACTTCTTTTGTGGGAAGCTGTACCTATTTACTTATAGCAAGATTGTCGCGTCTGACTTCCTTTCCAAGGAAACTATACAGTTATTACTTATTAGGGTGGAGACGTCTAAACACTACAGGCAGGACATTCAACATAACCTATTTGTAGCTACTAAGCAGTGTGTTTTACATGGTCAGCATTCTTCAGTTAATAATACTAAATTGTAGTAATTGTAAGTGAAACAAGTCATTTTTCATACTGACCAATTAGGGTAAATATTGTCAGAGGACTAATTGATGTTAAATTCTACACAGTATTAAAAGTGTTGGGTCTCATGACAATCGTGGTATCTGAATGATAAGAAGTAATAACTGCCAAGGAAAGAACATAACAGCTCCTACAAGGCATAGCGCATGGAAGTGCCAAAAGTATGGTAGAGTAGTATAATCCCACAATGTGATAGGTCAGAAGGGAAAATATAATCCTTTTCTTTCCTCATTCAAGAGAACACTTCTTCAATAATATAAATTTACACACAGCCAAAACTGCAGTACATAAAAATAAGGACTACACATGCATTATACGAGGTCCAGAAGAACAATATACTCATTATTTTTTTCAACAAAATACTCATTATGAAAATGATAAAACAATAACAAAAGAAAAATGTCACAGAATTAAATACCAAACCTCCACTCCAGCAGGAAAGCAAAAAGAAAGGAGATCCTTGTATTTGAGAGGTAGCTTCTTTTCTGGAGGATATACAAATAGAACCTAAAATTCGAGTGTACAGAAATCAGCCTTAAATAATATAATTTACTCTAGCATTCTTCACAGCAAGAGTAGTCAAAATATTCCATAACAGAAAAACCAAGTAGCATACATAAATTGCAATTGTAAAATATCATCAAAAGCATTCTAAGGAAATGTAACAGTTATACCATACCACAGAAGAAGAAAAAGGAAAAAACTTCTTGAGTCTTTCTAAATATACGATGAAAATATCATCATTCTATGGTCACAACACAAGTGACCATCAAGTATTCTCAAAAGGTTGCAAATGAAAGAAAAACTGCCCATTGAAGGGTTATTCTTTTCCAATAATTTTTTACAAACAGCTCCTAAAATAGATATGAAATTTCTTGTGATGTTAAGATCACTATGGAAATAGCCATGATACAAGGACTCACTGAACTATCAGAAGAACAATGACTTGTGTGCTAAAAATCCTAATATTAGAAAAACAATAGTGAATAAATCTGAAGCCAACTCAAACTTTGCATCATTGCAGTTACAGATAAGGACCTGAGGATCAAGATCTAGATCAGCATGAACTTGATGGTGGTGATTCAATATGCTTCTAGATTTCTTCGTATCTTCATTGTTCCTTTCCAAGAGCTGTTTTTGTAATTCTTGAACATTTGTGTTAGGATGGAGTCCAACCACCACCATGCTTTCAAAAAGCCTCGATGGTTCCTTGACAGACCTGTGATCCTGCTCATACAAACCTCATATATGAACATAAAAGAAAATTCTGGAGCACACATATTATCAAATATTCATAAGATATGTCAAACACTAAATTAAGCAAAAGAGTAACAGATAAGCACAACAGTCATTGAATCAAGACAAAGTGAGAGAATTTGAATAATAAATGCTATTGTAAAAGACTATGAAATGGCGACAATGAAATGGCAGACTTGGCTTTGTGTTATTCTTCACCATGCAAAGTAGTTTCCTCTTAAATTAAAAAAAAATGAAATTCTGACTAATCCCAATTCTCTGTCAATGATGCTTAATTGTTTATTTACTCAATTATAATTGAGCCAAATAAGGAATTGGGAGAATACTACTTGAAAGTTGAATTCCAAGGACACAACAGAAATCTTTTGAGAATGTAAATTGAGTGTTGTGGCCAGCTTTAGAAACTTGGTATCCATCTCAAAGCATTGTACATAGCACTTGATCGACCACAGAGACCACTACACAAAGAATACAGAGGTGATATGCTAGAAGAATATATAGATACCTTTTCAAAAGGATATAAGTAATTATAGTGAAAATTGCAAGCCCTCAGGCTGAAAAAATGGCAGGAATTACTAAGGTCAATCTGTAGTTATATCACAGCAGCAAGGTGATAACCTTTCTGTCACAAACCAATCAGGCAGATACTAAATTAGATGCATCCAATCGTGAGGAATGACGTTATCAAATTGTTAATGAATATATTACGGAGATCTATGATGCTATAGTTACATTAGGAATATGTGGTTGAGAGATACCAGGGATGTGATTGAGAGAATAAAGTAATATGCTAAAAATATGTTTAGCATATTCCTAATAATATGTAACATATGTTTATTTGCACTTAGTATAAATATAAGAGATGAGCTCTAGATAGTCCCTCGTTTTTTTAATTAATTAATTTCAACATGGAATCAAAGCCACGTAAACCCTAGCCTTCACAAAATCCTAGATCCTCACAAACCCTAGCCCCCAATCTCCCACCATCAAACTCCTCCCTCTGCCTTACAACCTACCTTCTTTCCTATGATAGGTTACGGTGAACAGTGAAGCAAAGACTGTTCATCATGAACAGTACCACAGATTCTTGTCCATCTTGCTTTCAATGGCTTTGTTAATGATTAGGATTGTCATTATTATTAGTAGTAATCATCCTCGATGTATATGTTCTCCTTACCACCTGTGTCGCCTCGATTACCCTTCGTTCACTGCATATTCAACTTGTAGATGCCACCACCACCGGTTGTATTCTAGAAACCTTCACTACCGATAAAGAGTTTGTTTGGTTGATCCGTGAAGATGATCGTTTGTTTAGTTGATCCTGGAAGAGGATCGTTTGTTTGGTTGATGCGTGAAGAAAATTATTTATTTGTTGATATGTGAAGAGGACCGTTTATTTGGTAGATTCACGAGAAGGATCGTTTGTTTGTTAGATCCTTGAAAGGATCAATTATTTGGCAGATGCCTAAAGAAGGATCATTTGTTGATCCCGATGAAGATCATTTGTTTGGTGGATCCTTGAGGAGGATCATTTATTTGGTGAATCTCTAGAGATGATTCGCTTGGTGATCTCTGGTGAGGATCGCTTATTTGGTAGTTCTCTAGAGAAAATCATTTCGTTTGGTCGATCTGTGAAGAAGATTGAGGTATCACATTTGGTGATATTGATTGAGGTTGTTTGTGGTGAAAGACATTCAACTAGAAAACTAGAAGATAAAGACAACTACGATGAGAAAGGTCACACAAAAGATTTTAACCTTTTAAGTCGTGTCACAAATTGGAGAGACTATATCTTGTTTGTAACAAGCTGAACATGTATATCATACATGCTCCAGCTTGAGGGGGAGTGTTAATGAATATGTTATGAAGATCTATGATGTTCTAATTATACTAGAAATAATATATTAGGAATATATGGTTGAGAGATATTAGGGATGTGATTGAGAGAATAAAGTAATATGCTAAGAATATGTTTAGCATATTCCTAATAATATGTAACATGTGTTTATTTGCTCTTAGTATAAATATAAGAGATCAATAGAGCTCTAGATAAAGTCCATGGTTTCCCTCAGAATTAATTTCAACATCAATCTCAGAATTAATTTCAACATCAATCAAGAGGGAGAATCACAAGAATCTATTGTTTTCAACCACAGTTATAGGGATAACTATATTCACCATGAGATGTTTCCTACTGAGAGTTGTACATCTTATAGGTGGATGTTTTATTTTATAAGCTACTACAGCATGCAAATTAAATCCTAGAAAAAAGTCATCATGTGATTTGTGTGCATGTTCACAAATGTCAAAGTACCCATTTATGAGAAATTACCATGTCTATTTGGATAGATCTCCTCCAACAGGGTTAGAGTTAAGGATTCAACCTTGGGTTGAGTTAGGTCCAACTATCAACTTGAATTGCCTTACCCCCACGTAGTTCACCCCTCTCCTATACTACATAAAAGAAAATTGGAGACAGTTATATTTTAATTGTAGACGGACAGTCTTATAACTCAAGTGTGCAACTTTTCTGCAGTTCACTGCCTACTTTGACTACAATTTACAAAATCACTGAAAACCAAAAAGAATTTAATGCTAATTCAATTCTAGTGTTTGATGAATCATGTTATATAGTTGTTAAATAATGAAAGCTCTAGTCTGTAAGTGAAAGAAGCTCTGTAGATGCTAATTATCTTATTACCAAAATACAGGGAAGAAAGTGAATACCAGATATTCCATCTGAGACCTTGCCCACTGACGTTTCTGACTGGTTAGGATCTCAGGATTGTAGGTAGCCCTCTTCACTTCAGGTGAAGGTGATAAACCTTTTAACATCCGCGCAACCTGTAATTGCAGCCTCTTAAGTGGGCTACCAGCATCATCATCCCTAGATGAGAAAACTACAGACGGACGTGGTGAACGAATTGTTCCAGGAGATGTTGCAGCTGCAACAGCTCTTTCAACGTCTTCGTTTGTTTGCACAAATAATGAAGGACCTGATCCAGGGCTACCAGTATCTCCATTGTTATTCATGCTGATTGTTTCTATGAATTTCAAGAACCCCTTCAAATCACGAAAAAAAAAAGTTAAGTTACAAGAATTGCACATCATAATGTCTATGTACATCTAATCAAATCGTAAATAGAGGACAAATTGCTCTCGTGATTCGTGAGAAATTATTATAGGAAATGGCAATAAAATACTAACTATTGATCCAATGTTAAACCTTGAAAACATTAGTAAACATGTTGACATCGCAAGTAAACTGTCTAAGCCTCAAGTGACAAAAGATTAATTCCTTCCCTAGATTTTAGATATACTTTAAGGGTAAACCATGAGGTATGTAGTCTGAGAATGACATTAGTGACTGAGTGCACATAGAATATTTATAGAACCTGTGGAGCTAATTGCAGTCTTGTCGACGTAACTGGAAATAAAATCTTATGGTCAGTGAGGAGTATCTAATGCTAAATTTGTTCAGTAAGAAACTCAATTATGTTGGGATGAGGGTAAAAATGTATGATCAGTATACATTTTCAAATTTCATGATGACTCGCTGCTCAAAAGACAGCTCCTCTTGACTTTCCAACGAAATATGCAGATTCATGCTTCTATCCTTAGTTCATGTTTCCAACGTTTCATGGTTTCTGCTAGGTGCATATTACAGCTTCCAATGTTGCTCATGACATCTTTCGTCCCGGAAATGATTGAGTAGTGTGAATCAGAACAATATGCACCCTCCTGCTAATCATGGGCTCAGATTTTGATCCCATTCGACTACGTATAGCTAATAATGGCATCTTTCCCTTGGTCCATTCATGTGCAAGGTGCAAGTATACTCCCAGAGAAATAGAACAAGGGGGCTAGTAGTCTAACACCTAATTGCTTAACTTTTCTTGGCTAATTTTGTATTCTGCCTCTGTATAAAACCCAGATGACCGTCAAGAACTTTGATTATTCCCCAAAAAAGTGCAGTCTGATCGTTCGGTTAGCCTACAAACAGCAGAGCATGCAGACTACAGATATTTGCGAATATAGATGCTCATTTTCTAGACGATGACTGTCATTTTAGTTTAGACCAAAAATCAAAGATTGCCAGCCATATTCGCGAATGATTGATCTACACCCAGGAAATGAAAGCAAGATTGTCCCCGGCAACTCAATTGGGCTCACAAACTCTATTTAAGGCTCATTAAACTCACAAACAGACGTAATCACTCCCTAACAACTAAAAAATCATACTTTCAGTTCAACCTCCTCCTCTGCCATCCATTCTACCCACTTCAACACAATAGTTAGTGATTGGCAACAAGGCGTCCTATACTCCTATTTCACTTAGTAGCTACAGTAGCTCCCAACACTAAAATCAAGACTCAGCAAAAAGAATCATTCAGCTCGTAGCTATAATCTAACATCCAAATTGAACGGTTCGAGCTTAACCTAATCAACTCCTTTCAACGTCCGAACTCACTTTAAGCAAAGATTCCCCAAAAAAACAAGGCGAAAAATGAATCAAGAATCCCAACCAAATAATAAAAAAAAAATTCTTGAAATTCTTGATTCGGATAACGATTGGAGCTCAGCTATCTGTCAGAAAAGATTAATCGAAACAAAAATAGAAAAAAAAATGGACAAAAATCGGCTGAAAAAAAGCTATTTAACATCGAAAGGGATAAGAATCGCTCACTGATGAATAATACTACGGAGCCGCCGAGGGCTCGCTCCCTCTTTTTCCTGCGAACTGATCAGAACGAAAGAAGGAAAAAGGCGCTGTAAGATTATAATAATATCATTATTTTATTCAATAAATATTAGCCCAACACAATTTTTCTCTTCTAACCCCGCGATTCGCTGTAAGCAACAGTCTTAATACGGCACCATGCAATTGCCCCCAGCCGCTGGACGCGTGTCTCTTTTGGGTGGGCCCCACGCCGCTGTGGTCAGCTCACCGCCCACCCACGCTTTCCTCGGCGAATTCCTCGGAAATGGAGCGGGGCTTTTGCCCCCCCGGTGAGCCGCCGGGCGGTGACGGGAACAGGCCGGTGAGCAAGACGACAAGGAGCAACAAAACGTGGAAAGGAGCCCCTTTTTTATTTTTCTGCGTGGGGTCGTGCATAGATGTTTTATGCGGTTGTTTAAGGAGACTAGCTTTTTTTTTTTTTATGTTAAGATTAAGATTAATGGGGTTTATGATTTGTGGCCATGCGGAGATCATGATGGGTTCATGGGGACTGCATAGATGACATGAATACTGCTGAAGCATATATTAATCTGCATGAAAATAGTTGATTAAACTAATTAAGGGAGGTGTGACTCGTCAGATCGTTTTATAGTGACTGGTCCGTTTTATTAGATTAAATAAGAGATTTTCAAAATAATTCCAATCCAACCTTTTTTTTTTTTTGAAAATAAATCTTATTTCGTTTTTATTACAGAAACAGATTCACTTTTTAGTCATGTCTAAAGATTTATGAATGAACACGGGCTTTTAATTGATAGAAATTATAATAAAGAACAAAAATTTGTTAAATATTCTAGTCGGCCATCAATATACCGTAAAAGAACGTGTAGATCGATTTTTCATTTAGTTCCACTACAGACACCAAAACCAACTTTATCTGATCATTATAGTATATAAGCAATTACCTATAACTAAACTTTTTGTTAGATAACAAAAAAAAATTAATGAAAAGTTTTTAAAGCCTAGAAAATCCTTTTACGAGAGCAATTTTTTTAAGTAAATTTGTCAGACTCTCATCTGTTTTCTGTTAGATTTATATCGTAAATAGACATGATCACGAATTGTTGACAAGCCCAAAATTAACTCATTGTACTAAATGCGAAATGCATAGCAGGCAAATAAACACTACTTGTAACGGCTGACGAAGACAGGGAGAAAGGTGCACATAAATAAATGGATGTTATAATTGGATAGATGATTGATCATTGTCAATCCATATTCGCTGTATAATAGGTTGAAGATAGAGTATGGTTACGGATACCGATATGGTTACTGAAATCTATAATCGATAGGATATGTTTACGGATATAGTTTTGTAGTGAAATATCTGGATTCATATCCGCAAAAACATATTAATTATATTGTTACAATAGTTTTAATCCTTAAAATATGGATTTGAGGTTAATTTTGACTGATCTTAGCTTTTCAAATATAACGAACATATAAATGAACTCTTTTGTATCACATGAATATATATATATATATATATATATATATATATATATATATATATATAATACTATCTAGTTTTCTCATATTCATTTTGTTTGCGCATACATCTCCACTTATATATCTACATGTATATCCGTATACATATCTGATTTTGATGGATATGAAGTGTCCTTACCGATATATATCCGTATTCATATCCATATTTGATATGAGTAAGTGGATATAAATATGATAAGTATCATATCCGAGCCGTATCCGGACCAAATGCACCTCTAACTTCACATTGTCATAATAGACTCTTAAGCATCTTCCGGTAAAAGATAATAATAGAAAATACTAAAAATAAACTAGAAGTTTCTGGACATAATTTTGACCATAAAAATTCACGTCTCGTCAGGGTAAAAATAGAAAACTCACATGTATTATAATCACGGGCTTTTCTCCAAATCATGTAGTTTTTTTTTTTTAAATCCAGATACTATAAAAATGAGGTATAATAATGGCACTTTTGAAGAAAGTAATGAGGTGAAGACATGAATAAATGGGCCTATAATTGATGATGGAGAAAAGAGTGAGGGGATGGCTATTAAGTTTGCTGTTGAATAAGCAAGAATAAAGAGGCACACTAGAGCATGTTTGTCGAGTGATCACAATAAAAAAAAAAACTTGTTTATAAGCCGCAAAAGTGGTTGTGGCTTGTAAGTTATTTTGACATGTTTGGTAAATAGATCATTTGGCTTATAAGCCACCAAAAAATAAGCTAGAGTGACACAGTTTATTTTTTGGGTGATTTATAAACCGCAAAGTTTAACCAAGTAAAATACTAACATGCCCCTTATTTCAAAAAGTTCCAAGCCTCATTTTATCTCTTCTAAACCCACTAAATACATTTCAGTCGTTTTAACAATAATTATAACCCCACTAAATACATTTCGATCGTTTTAACAATAATTATGGCTTACAAGTCATAAATTTTCTAAACATTTATTGAAAATAGATTATAATCCATTAAATTTACCAAAAACTTTGGCATAAATCCACATGGCTTATAATTCATTCGTGGATTATAAGCAAAGTAGATTATAATCCAAAGTTGCCAAACGATTTGGAGGCCACTTGTCACACCTAAGTTAGGACACAATCAAGTAACGTGATACTCTTTTTCATTGAGCTACACATTGTTAAGAGAAAGATTTGAGCATGAATTTGTAGAGAATAATATCCAAACGTGAAATTTATTGAAGATCGCATCCTAAAAATCCTAGTTTAGGACTATAATCTACAAATTAGTCATAAAAAATACGAAACAGATAAGAATCCAATGTCATGGAGTTCATGGGAGAAAGGGGAAAAAGAAAAGAAAAGAAAAGAAAAAGAATTTCTCTCATATATTTTCTTCCACGTTTATCTCAATACACTCATTTAGTTTCATTCCTCGTTCGCCTTCAGCGCATGTAAGCAAAATCCCGAACTCTACACAAAACAGACTGCTTTCATGGCATGGATACGTGATACAAAATATTTGATGCATCGAGTTTGTGTCGCCTTATCATCTCAAGAAGAGGAGCTTAATTTTTCTAATAAAACATTTACTGCCAAGAATTCTTCTGGACTCTCTCCTCAGTTTTCAATTAGGCTCTGAGGTGCCCAAGCTTTTGGCTCATTGCCATCTTTATTGCCCTGCTCCTGCTTTAATAAAACGAAAACAATTGTATTAGTAGCTGGAAAAAAAAGCAGTCATATAATTTATGCTTATGGAGCACCAATCTCAGTTTCTGGTGAAACTATGTCATTTATCTGCTTCTTTCACGATCATTATTTCACATGTACTGTTAATCATGAAAAGATTTAAAAAAAAAACAATATTTGGGATATACCAATATCATAAACGAAACTCCTAAAGACTCTAGGAAAACGACATATCCAGTACCAGTAACACATAGGAAAGATCAATTCCTTCAACTTTGCTGAAGAGCTTCTAAGAAATTAGATTCTAGGAGAACTACGTTGGTGAATACACAAGAATATTTCAAGATTATTATCCACGTAACTATAGTCTTTGGTCATCATCGTACCTGGATGGCAAGGCCCTGAAAATGGTTTCTATTCATCCTCACGGATGAGGGTTTAAAACTGTAGATGAAACTGTTACCTTTGTTATTAACATTACAACGCCATATTGCTAAATTATGTCGGTAGGTATATACGAGAAACTCTCCTGGAGTTCTACACCAGCTAGGTAACGGACACTTCGTTTTGGGTGCCATACTGCAATGTTGTGTCCGACCCATGTCTGACACCGCCTCTCCGCAGACACTCCATATATACTTGTGATTTTAAAAAAAAAAAAAAAAAAAACCGATTTCCCCATTGCTTATACCCTAAACTAGTTTCTCTGGTAATATCAGGTTCAAAACCAATTGTTTTTTAACATCTAAGTTGCATGGAAATGGGTACGAGTACTGGTGCGGGTGCGGGTGCGGGTGCGGGTATGGGTACGGGGACATGACAAAATTGTAAAATGTAGGGTACGGGGACATGACTGCATATATATATTGAATTAATAATGTACATGAGATTATATTTTTCCGCTTCATGTGTCATTAGAATTAAAATTCTAATCGCATTTTTAAGCTTCTTTTATCAATATTGGTTATCATAAATTGGAAACTAGTCATTTTTTTACTAGACATCCAAACGACCCATTAACCGTATAGTTTTGAACTTGGGTATGGACTGAAACGAATCTGACCCGTATCTAACTAGTTTCAAGAAACGGATGTGAAGTGTAAGCTATACATCCAAGAAGTCTTTGACAATTGTTTTAAATTAACACATATATCATATAATTGAGCACATGTTGTAATAAATGCATGCATATATTCAAGAAGTGTCCAGAAATTTGGGTACGAGAAAGTGTCGGGTACGTGTCCGGTACGGGTACAACTTCATTATAGAAGTACCCGAGTGACATAGTGAAAACTGAAACCAATTAAATATTTGAAAATCACCAATCATATTATCTTATGCGGTCAAAACTAAACTTTTTTCCGTTAAATCTTATTCTCGGTTTGATTTAACTTGATTCTTAATTGTTATAAATAATAGAAAGAAACATACAAATATTATTGATATTTTTGTTCAATATTTAATCATGTGTGTGTATCATATACCGTGTCTCCGTGTCATGCATTTTATTAATTTGCCGTGTCCCGTGTCTGTATCCGTGTTCGTGCTACCTAGTATAGCAGTAAAGAAGCTATGATGGGAGGAGTAAAAGAGAATAGGTAAAAACTACATGGTCCAAGTAATGCTGTTACGAAGGAGACTGACAATGAAACTTACAGAACAAGTAATTGATGCAATCAAAGAAACCCGTCACTACCATTATAACTCCAAAACAGAACAAGTAATTGTTGCAACCGAAGAAACCCATCACTGCCATTGTAACTCCAAATCCCTGGACCTGTGTCTATCAAATCTCATATAAAGGAAAATGTTTATAAAAACGTCACTAGATAAAAGAAAAACATGAGCTTTGCAATCTGCCATAATAAATACTTGATGAGGCCTTTCACTTCCCAAACTCATAAGGTGCTTTATTCATATACTCCATTTAATTTTAAAAATAATATTTGCATCAAAGATCTAAAATACTTTACATTTACTTTTTGATAACATGAGCATTTTACATCTGCTAAAAACATAGTGTAACCATAATTTCGCATATAGTCGGAACTAAAAACCATCTAAACTTCACAAGAACATCCCAATTGACAATACTATAGTGCCCTGAAAGCAGAAATTTCACTTCTTTGTTAAGTAAAAAGAAAATTGATTATACTCTTCAGGTTAGAATCTTCAGTCTTTCAGCTGTGGCTTCTTTCCTAGAAAATCAAGTTCAATGACGAAGACTGATGAAAAAAGGGGTATACATACAGATACAAACAGGCATTTGTTACTTGAAAGTTGAAACACTTCTACTCGTGCTATATGGTATTTCTTGAGTGCAGACAGTTGGAGATATATTCACATACAACAAGGAACAAGATAGGAGTACTTGACATTTGATTGATAAAGTACACTTAGTTAGCTAGAAACCTCATCATTTCGCATAATCTCTGGATTTCCACCTATGCAAATATTTTCTACACAGTTTTGAATTATCATATCCTAGGCATTATCAAACTCTGTTACACTGATGTTGGCTAATAATAACCAACGCCAAGCAGATCCCAGGTCAGTAAAACTTGATTTGATAATGTTGTATGGGGAGAAATGAAATCAATGGAAAGAAAGATAATCATTGAGCCCTGACTTATTCTATGTACTAATAATTCCAGTTTGAAACTACCAAAATCACTATTACTCCCAACAAATACTAAGATAGGTGATTAAAACCGTGACTGGTACCGAGATTTCAAACCGTGCTTTTGACACTATGCTTTGACTCCTAATTGTAGCCTAATCAATGAGTATACACAAAGAATCAACGCAGATTGATAAATAACTAGGTTACCCAACGCTTTGTCTAGGCTTCCCTATTTGTGTCTCCTTTAATATGCATACATTTACTCAGACGTGTACTCAATTATATAATACACATTTTAGTTTAAGACACTCGCCATACACTTTTTAGACATATATCTTACACTTCACATCCATTCCTACAACATTCTTAACATGAGTCTGGTTCATTTCAGCCCATACTAGGTCAGAAGTATGTTTTTAAAGGGTCATTTAGATATCTAGCTAAAAAATGAGCAATTTCCCAACGTATAACCTCCTCAATAAATGAAACATAAAAAGGTTATTAGAAATTTTAGTATTCATAACATGTAAAACAAAATTGATCTCAGGTAAATGACTAATTCAATATGTACGTGTGTGTGTATGTATGTACATAGATGTATATATATAGGTGGAATGCACGTGCGCTGCACGTGGTCAAATATTTTAATTATTTACTATAAGTCATTTATTTACTATAACATGGCTGTAAAAAACTTCATAATTATCATAATATATTAAATTATTTTAGATATTTCCATGTGTAAAATTTTGTTGGTTTTAACATTTTGTCTTTCAGAGAAATAGTGATGTAAAGCTTTAAAATATTAATGAAATAAAATTAATTCGTAATTTGAATGTATAATTTCAAAATATTAATGATGTAAGGGACCAATAAGGAAAAAAACTATTATTATTAATGAAAAAATAAAATTTTGAATGCATCAAAGAAAAATGGTAGGTTTTATCTAGTCATGAAGGATTTTGTTCAATTATAAAAAATCACTTCCACTGTTGTTTATTTCCACATGTTGTTGATCTGGTAATTGAGTATTATAGATATTCAAGAACTTTTTTCTAGAATTTTCTAAGTTAGAACGTGCAAATTCAATCAAGAAAGAAAATATAAATTATGTGATCAATTCTAATATATATGATATTGTACTCTTTTTACATCTTCTCAAATACTAGTTGATCTGTCAAAACAACTACTCTCTAATTTCAGAAAATTATAAAAGTCTGAGAATGATTTATACATATTATGCACTTGTATTGATTATATTTTAACAAAATTATAAAAGTCTGAGAATGATTATATTTCAATGTCAAACAACATCCAAAATTTTAGCTTAGGGAGTTACAAGAGTACAATATCCGCAACAATACCCATATCCAAGCTATGAGTTCATAAACTTATAAGAAGGTGAGTAATATAAAATAACAACTTAATTTATTTTGTCAAAATAAAAGACAAGGAATAAGAAGGATCACATACCTATCCTAAATAAATGCTAAATTTGTCTTAGAGATTATTATAGCAAAAGATTTTTAGAGTTGATGTGCAGGAAAAATTTAATGAAAAATAACACAAACCAGTTCATTGACCGATAGACTTGTTATAAACTCCACTCTTATAAAATTTAATATCGCATGTGCCTTAAGTTGTGCTTTTGTTTAAGGGTTAATTTTAGAAAACTCCCACTTAACTATAGGGGGCATGTCAACTCTCCTTCCCCTCCACTTAAAACTGAGTAGATCTTCGCCAAGTTTTGGGTGTTTTATAGATAATCTATCTCAACTTTAAAAAAATTTAATTTAACCCCTGTGAATTTTTTTCACTTAAACTTAACCTCTCAAAAGTAATATCAGTGAGTCTTATCTATTATGTGACAAGTACTTGATTTGGAAAGACCAAAATATCCATCAACCATAAAAGAATTACCTTGATTTTTGCCAGATGAAAAAAAAGAATTGTAAACTGGTTGTGGTCCTTTTATTATCAGTTGGGGGTTTCTTTTTAACTAAAATTGCTTTCTTCAAAAGAGTATTTTGTTTAAATCACATATTGAAGTAACAATGTTAATAGGGTTTGTCGATAAAAGTGTAAAAGTTAGGAAAGTTTTTATGAGACACACTATAGTTGAGAGGTGTTTTCTAAATTGCCCCTAAATTGAGAGGAATTATCTATAGCACCCCCATAATAAGGGGTTTTCGTCAAATTGAATCAATTGAATGGGTTTTCTAAGACAATCCATATAATTGAGAGGGTTTTTAAAAAATTAACTCTTCTTTTAAATATGACTTATTTATAATTTGTCCCTTAAAATTTTAATAATTTAATATTAGTCCATGAACTAATATCTAAATATCTAAATAACAACGAACTAATATTAAAATCAACGAACTAATATCTAAATAACAAAGAATTATATAATTGCTCGTTGATTCTAAATATCTAAATAACAAAGAATTATTGGATATTTAAAATCAACGAACTAATATCTAAATAACATTTACATATTTGCTCTTATAGGCAATGCATTAAAAATTAGTCGATATATTGCTATATCGGTCAATATATCGAGTTAAAGACTTTATCTCGATAATATTTTATATTATTTTCTTTTGTTTGGTGATTTTTTTTGATATATTGACTGTTATAAAAAATATGGCAAATATATCCCTTTGAAGATACTTAGAAAATCGTGTCATTATTAATTTGATTGTGGGCTCAGATTTAGGTCTTGTTTGGGAAACAAAATCGAATCCCACAATACCCACAAAGGCCACAATTCTTCTGCCAAATCTCTCCACTTGCGGCTCTCTCAAATCTTAAGCATATATCATGATGCAAATTTTCTATGTTTAAAATTCATTAATATGTTAGATTATGTATTACAATGTCATGTTATGTATAAATATTATCTCATATGACACCCAGTATTATATACATGTCCTTGATTTCTGCAAACCGATATCATAGATTTTATTTGTTCAATATTTATCTGATGTCCAACACTTTGTAGTAGTTCTCCGAAAACCTCTTCTAAAGTTTTCTAAGCGAAGTATATAATTTCAAAAAATAATTCAAAATCTTGAGACTCATTCAAAATATGATGCTTTAATTGTTTCACATCTCTACTATATAAATATAAGCTAAGCATCTGGCCTCATATTGTATGATGAATATTATTTATCAATGGGATCATATACTATTGTTTGTGGAAAACAAAGGTTTCAAATCTTTCATAGGCTTAACTAAACTAAAATACCTTATAGTTTACCAAAATTATACTTACATACCTCCACTTGCATCTTGCTGCACTTAGATATCCTAATGTTTTCTAAAATTTTATGTTAGTATTTTCCATCCTGTTACCTAAACATAATAATGTTCTTTGTAATTTTCCTATATGAGTGTCATGGTATAATTTTAGGACAATTCTATGTTTTCAACTCTTTTCATAAATACTTTATTAACATACAATTATCTATTAGTATATTATTACATATTACTACTAATTAATATAATGTAGAGTTTTACAATAACATTGAAAGTTTTAGGGACCAAGTTATACAAACTTAAAGTGACATATAATATAATTAATTAACAATGATAATTAATTTCGTATAGTTAGTATTAGAATGTAATATCAAAAAAGAATATGGGTAATATAGTTCTTGAAAAGTTTTTCCAGAACTCCCTCTTTTAAAAGGAGTATGATATATATACATATATATAGTCGTGTTCCTATATCCTACCTTTTACAAATATGTTGTGTCCCGTATTCAAAGCCGCACACATACCCGTGCAACATAGATAAACAACATAGTATTGGCTGATCATAAGGAATATGATAAGATATTTCATTATAAGCAGTCACTATAATAAGATGGGTTATTGGCTGATCATAAGGAATATGACAAGTCACCTATACTTTTATATAATTATCTAGAAACAAATATGCATACACAGTGCATATGCAGAACAGACATGTAAGCACAGAGGGCCATAATGTAACACTTGCAAGCAGGCATACATGCATTAGTGTGCTCATATGGATGACTGAAAGTGAGACAAAGGGCCCCAAGCACAAAATATAAACACAAAGGTTATAAGTTAACTTTGATATTGATGATGATGATGATGCCAAATTGCTTAAGCCCATCTCATTTATTCACTCATCATCTTTTAAATTATTCGATATATTTCTGAGAACTGAACTTTTTTTTTTAAAGCAACAATCTCTAGTGCAATCAAGCAGTGACATGCTAGTTCTCTTTCAGCCTAAAATATATCATGAAAAGCTATATTCAAAGAGCTATCCAAATTGATATAATCAAACAGCTATTCAACTAGAAATTTGTGACAAGATATTTCATTAAAGACCACGAAATCAGTTATTGATAAAATTTTCCGTTTCTATAAACAGGCTAGTTATTATGCACTTCTTTTAAATAAATTCTCCGTTTCTATAAACAGGCTAGTTATGATGCACTTCTTTAAGACCCCTTTAGCAACCAAACATTGATCATCAAGGATATTTCAGTTGCAAAATTAGGTACTGCTAAGGAGTCCTCAGACAACCGTATCTGATCTGAGATGGACCTAACCCCCTCCCTTGGCAGGGAAGAGATTCCATATGAAATCTTATGACTCATCAGATCTACAGATTGATCTACAAGGATGTGAATTCAATGGTGTCATCATCATCACCACCTCTTCATAAAGTTTCTATGTTTTGATAGTCTTATTAAGCCAACCTGTTTATAGTGATAATTCCTCCGCTGAAGTATCGAAAAAACAATTCTGACTGCAGTCATTTCAAATAAAGCACCTACTGAAAGCACAAGGATATTTTTAGAACATGAATATATGAATGATCAGTAAATGTGAGGCAGTCCTGCATTCAACCAGGCGTATTTAATTAATCATTAGGTGGGATATTTTTGATAAAGTATGAGATACTTTTTGAAAGTTCAGTCATTATGTTTCTTGTTTTTGATAAAGTACAGGATGAATTTAGTACAGTGCAGTTCTCATTCATCTGATGAAAAATGTACATCTAGGCCTCTATTCTACATGGAATAATACTTATTTTTTTGTTCGTCTTCTTAACTTCTATCCAAAGACCATGAGATACTCTGTGATAATTCATGTTCAAACGGTCAAATGGAACTCTTCTTGTTATTAAGCCTCATCATCATTATAAAAAAAATATTCATCAAACGAGAGATTGGTTCATATGTACTCAAATAGATTAAAAGTAGTAATCAAATTTTTTTACAGGCACTACATGATCTGAACATGATAGTTGGATTTCAGTGCCTTATGAGCTAGCTATATGAAACTAAAAGGCTGGCAAGTAGCCATAAAGCTGAAAAAGCCCATGTCACAAGTATTAAAAATACTGAACACTATCCAAATTACGTAACTTTAAACACAATTAAAGTCCAAAATTTGCACAATTATTTACATAATTTAATATAAGACACATTACTCCAAATAGTCAAGAGGATGTACTTAGTGAACAAGCTCACTGAAGAACAACAACCGATAATAAGACTACAAAAACATGTGTCAAATTTTCGATACAGAGTAATAAATGCAGGCTAGTAACTACTAAATCTGTAAAGAATGTGCAATTTAGCTGCAGAAACAGAGAAGTAGAAAATGTCAAGCAAAGGTATGGATGCACTTACTGTTCAATGATCAACCTCCAAAATTTCCAAAGCCAATCATAACCCAGTTCCATTTGTAGCAAAGGCCATGGTGTCAAAATATGAAGAATCCCCCAATTTACCAGGTTGATACGTCTACAAAATCATGTCTCGCAACCTCTCCATAATAAGAAATCAAGAAAACTATACAGCAACTGAAACATCTGCTCTTTTCGTCAATAATGAAGGAATTTCCTTCGATAAGGATAAATCCAGTCCCATATTCTTCCCTGATGCTATTTCGACGATTCTCTTTGCCTCACTAGGCATCCCAGCCTTTAACAGAAGAGATACAAAATTATTGACTGCTATACTATCAGGAGCACAACCAGTAGCCACCATTTTATTGAAAAGTCCAATGGCCTCAGACATCCTCCCTCTCACGCAATGCCCAATAATCAATATAGTATATGTATGCTTATCAGGTCTACAACCCCTTTCCTCCATCTCCCCCAGAATCGAATTTGCCTCCTCCACATCCCCTGCCTTACAAAATCCGTCAATCACCGGGTTATAAATAAAAGCATGGGGTAAAATATCTTTCCGCCCATTCAGTTCCCTTAAAATTTCTCTTGCCTCCTTCAATCTATTTTTCTTGCAAAAAGAATCAATGATAATAGAAAATGTGTAAGCATTCGGCCTAACCTCTTTCCCACCCATTTCATGCAAAATCCTCATCGCATCATCAACCTGCCCACTTCTACAATACCCATGAATCAACGAAGTGTATGTTACAACATCCGGAGAACAACCACAAATCCTCATCCTCTCATACACTAAATTAGCCGCTTTCAAGTCACAGACTTTACCATACCCATCAATAAGCACATTGTAAGTAATCCTACTCGGCTTAATCCCAGACTCAACCATTTCCTCAAAAACCTTGTTTGCCTCCTCCATTCTTCCCAACTTACAAAACCCCGAGATCACCGAAGTATAACTCTTCACATTCAGTAAGCACGAGCCATCCAAGCTCACCCCCCTCAAAATATCACATCCTCTATCCACCATATTAGCCTTGCACAACCCATCAATCAGCACATTGTGCGTAATCGTATCAGCCACACATCCAAACTCCCCCATCCGTTTAAAAAACCCAAATGCACCATCCACATCTCCCACTCTACAACAAGCATTGATAACACTGTTAAAGCTACACGTATCCGGTGCAAAAATCTGCAACCCCAACTGCTCTCTAAACAAAAAGATCGCATCTTGAGCCCGATTTCTACTAATTAGAGTGCCCAAAAGGTTATTAAACGCATACGTCCCGATCCTAATTTTCAACCCAACAGCTCTACTGACTAATCGCAAACAACTATTCAGATCACCTGACTTAACAAAAGAACTCAACAAAAAGTCAATAAACGAGGATTCAATAGTGCATCTCCTCTCCGCCATTTCGTCGAGCACCTTGAGTGCGTCGGCGCCGAGGTTGGATCGGGCAAGTAGGGCGATAACGTGGCAGTAGGAGGATGGACAGTGACCCACGTGGAGCTCAGAAGAGAGGAGGCTGAGGAGGCGGAGGGCGGAGCTAGGGTTAGAGATTCGTCGGATCGAGAAGAGAGCGACCGAGGGGGTAATTAGGCGGAAAAACGAGGTCAGGCGGTGAGGACAGAGGAGGAAGAGGGTGGAGATGAGCTTGGCATCGGTGAGATCGCCGGAGGAGGTGGAGAGGGGGCGGCGGGGGAGGAGGAGGGAGGAGAAACAAATGGAGGCGGGCTGGAACTTCGTTTGGGTCCGGCTCGGTTTGGATTTTGCTGCTGGTTCTGGTTTAGGAAGTTGAACCGGAGAGGTTAAATTAGTAGCTGACACGAAGAATCCCCTTTTTTTTCAGTTTTTTTTTAAAGTTAATCTGAGAGTAGAATATACTTCAGCACTAAGGTTTTTCTTCTGGGCGTCCACACTAAGTGAAAAAAATAGAGAGAAATGAATAGCAAATGAGCTTTCGCGATTTGAAATAGAAAATAGAGAGAAATGAATAGCAAATGAGCTTTCTTGATTTGAAATAATTTCTCTCGTTCCCACTTCTCTCTTTGGCTCCTGCATTCCTAAAGAGTGCCTGCAGGCGCCCGATAGAAGAACCATACACACCCTTTCCTGATGCAGGTAAGTTTTAATTTGATATGAACAATTTCGATGTCCGCTGACTTTAGATCTTTTCACATTTTCTCTTTTCTACTTTTACTTACCAACATGGGCGAGATCCCAATATACTATACGGAGGCGGAATGCAATTCAATGTACAATCAACTGTGACAGACTCTTTAAATTGAAAAGCATTAATTATGAAGTAGACATGTACAAATTTGACACCCATCTTTGCAAACTTGGAAGAGAATTTCATTCACATGAGAAGAAAGCAAAAACAAAGCGAGAAAAAAACCCACACAATATCCAATGGCAACAAGAGATGTCTATTTACAAAATAATCCATTACCCTCTAGTACTACTGCTGCAAGAAGCATTCGCCACTTTGCTCGATCACGATTCGTAGGTGAATTCAGTGAATCTGATAATTAAAAAAAACAGCACTATCGCTCTTCAGATGGCCGACGTAAAGTTGACTGGCCTCTCAATTTTGAAATGTTCTTTCGTAGTTCCATATTCGACACCCGCTCTGCTTCCAAAGCTCGTTCAAGCTGCATATGTGAAAAAATTGCAAAGCTGTCAGACATAGGGACTGGAATGGAGAGGGAAAAACTTCAACTTTTTTACTTGCATGTACAGCAAATTTTGAAGTGATTGATAAGACAAACTCTGAGCTTTCCCTGAATAATTACTAGATGTTATTGGGCATATTTCCCCCTCAACCGAAGATAAAATATAAGGATGAAGAAAGTACCTTGGCTGCTCGAGCACTCCATTCACTCAATATAGCTCTCAGTCTTTCGTTTTCTTCAACATACTGTAGCATTGTTACACACAAGAGAAACACAATTGAGCACACACCGAATTGAAGTATGAATCTTTACAATAAGATAAAACTCTTTCTCAAAATCTTTTTTAAAAATAACTCTGGTTCCACAAAGAACTTGGAAATGTTACTAGAAAACCAGTTCTACCAGGTTTGTTGTGGATAACCAGGAAAATATGGAAAAGGGTTTAAGGTCTTTGGGCTACTCTATGAGAGAATGGATGCTGAGGTTTTCTCAGAAAACCACTTCTTCAAGGTATTATTTGGTAATAAATACCCAAAAGGTTGGCAACATCTAATGAAACCTAATCAATTTATTTTCCAAAGAAATCATGCCAAAATGAGTTGAGAAAGAAAAGGCAAAAATTAAATTTCTCAGTCTTGTTTTTGACACCCAATATGGATCTTGAAAAAAATCATTTCCTGTACCCTTTACATAGTTAGACAAAATAATAAACTTTCTTCCTCCAACTTCTTTTCATTCGCCTTCAAACTTGCCATAGGTTTAACATCGATCCAAACTTTTACATGGATACTATGCGTACCTGGTTGTTCATCACACGAATCTGCTGGATCTCAGAGTCCCTCTCAGCAATTATATTTCGGGCAAGGCGTAGCTCTGATTGCACTTGATTCATCTGCAGTTTTATAACTTGTCATTGGAAACTTAAAGATGACATTATATTTTGTTTTATCATAATGAGAAAATTGAACATTATTCTACCATAAAGTACTAGTTACAACAAAAAGCAATATGCCCAAAGAGCGGAGATGAAGACAGTCATCGCCCATCAGTGAAAATCATGAAGAAAGAGCCAAAAGCAACACGTGTAGTTTCTAATAATCTCTATTAGCACTTGTGGACAATTGTTGTTGATAAAATTAATAGAAGAAAGGATTTAAGCAACTGATCCCAAGAATGTAAGGATCCATAAATTAATTTGCTCCCAGCATTATAGAATTAAAAGACAACACAGTGCAAATGATACAGTTCTAATAAAATATATCTTATTTTCCAAACCTAGTACAAACAGCTCAACTACTAAAATTTCTACGATATGACATGCGACTAGAATTCTTATACAAGTTCTCCGTCATTCATGATAATAGATAAATACAGTTAACAAACCAAGGCTGTCATCAGGGTCCATCCAATGCTTCATAAAACATAGCAACCAGCAGCATTTTCCCATGAAAATAAGACAGGATCCTCTATAGAGCAGAATTCTAAGTTACCCATTAGAGAAAGTTGAAAAACAGTAACTGAAATATTGACCAAATACTGATAGTATTAATAGGGCATACCTGGTCAAGGCAAGAGGAAGGCTGCCATAAAATTTAAGAGGTAGTTTTTTGTCTATAGGCTTACATTACTGCAGGGGGAGGAAGATCGTTATCCAGGGAAGGTAAAGAATTTGAAGATTAACTTACTGCAGTATATATGTAGATGTTGAAAGCGAAGCAAAAAAAGTGGAACCTAGGCTCCTTAACCGATCAGGGGTAGAACAGACAGTTGAAAACATCCTAGTGAACAAGTAATGTGTATGTTTGTGATTCATCTGAAACAGAGGTTAATCACCAATTTTCATAATATAAATGTACAATGTGAGGAAATGAGGCAACTGAAGGATGATTGCGACCTCTACTTTGGATTGTTGGAGACATGAAGCAGCAGTATGTTATCTTGTCTTTTTTTTCTTTTTTTCCTTAGCGATAATTTCAGTTTATCCCATTCAGCAATGTCCAATTGGACTGGATTGAAATAGTCCTGACCTTCAATCAACATTTTGCCCAGAATGATAGAATAAGAAATAATCATATATTAGTATATTACTGCATATCTTTTACTGGGTCAATTTAAACTAATGACGCCAAATTCTATTACTTCAATCGCCTCACATTCATAATGATAATTATATAACATGAAGCTTGAACTGTGAGATTTACCTCAGCAGATAGAGCTCGTAATTCTTGATCACGAGCAGCCAGGAGATGTGCAAGATCAACCTGCATAGACAAGAAAAAGTCTGATAAATCCAAGCTGCAATTAGGAGTATAAGAGCCTGGTTTATATATATTTGTATTAAAAGAAATGCATAAAAGATGGAATTCTGCAACCGATGAACCTAGCAATGGAAACCAATTAATTTTGATTTTCTTGATATGTTCATGTCACATGTCAATGCAATTATATGCATTAACATATATTGGTGAGGTCACCACCAAGGGGGTGATGTTTTTTTTTTTTTTTTTTTTTTGGGGGGGGGGGGGGGGGGGGGTAAGTGCTCATTTCCTCCAAGTAGAGAATAGAATGGCAATTAAGTGCAAAAAATAGAATCATAAAACCATTGCCAGTATAGATTGAAAATGTGTTTTCAAAAAAAAAGGTGTTTTCAAGTAATATATAATAATATAAACTATAGTGTAAATTTGTGTAACAATAAAAATTCCAATTATTTAATTGTTGATATATAGTGTCCTTAAATGCCTGTTTCTTTCTAATGCTTCTCAAGCAATAAAAAGCAACTTTACCAACCCAAATTAACATATTATATTTGGAGCTCGAGATGTCAATGCTAAAGCAAGAGGCTACCATCAGTTTTCTACTATATTTTCACCTCTCACAATTCTTTTACTTTTTTGTCAACATAAATTTTGGATATTTCTTAATTTAACACCCCAACCATTCAGTTGATAATCCCCCAACTATCAAATCATGATCCTGTATCACTTACATAAGTGGTGCTTCCAACCAAAATCAGTAAGATACGGGGATAAGAGAAGAAATGTTACTACTAACCTGAGGGGTGCTGCCATCATCAGATCGCTGGTATTTGCTCAAACATTCTTGTAACCGTAGAACCTAATATGAAGAGACATGATTAGCAACAAACAAGATGTAAACCAAACATTATAAATAATCCCAACTTATCAGTATATCCTCTACTAAACAGTGTCATGGAATAAACAACTTGAGGATGACCCATCTCTTCAAATGTAATATATACCTCCTCACTCAAATAGTGAAGGTTTTCCCGTTGATATTGCAGAAGTGCCATCTGTTGATCTGAAAGACGGCCACCATCATGATATCTAATAGCCATGAATTTTACACGATGAGATTCCAAGAAAGGAGGCAGTGTGAAACAAACTATTTGATAAACTTAAACGAGAACACATAAATAACCCATCTGTGGTCTCTACTATTTAATAACGATGAAACAATAGAATGAAAAGAATAATGCCTAAGACAGCTTCAAAAGGTTTCTTTTTTTTTAAAGCAAGGAAAAAAGATAGAAGCTGGCATGTCGTAGTTGCCATTCACCATTTCTCAACCAAAAAGAGATAAAATTCACACCTTAACCACAAGCAAATTGGCTGATTTGGTCAAATTTGCCTAAATATTGAAGACGCACCACTTATAAATTTTTGGATCCAACTTCATCCCTTACACCATAAAGATCAATACAAACTGTACGTTATAACAGAAAAGGCAATCAAATAGTAAAAGCCAACTATGCATGCACAGGCAGGCTTCAAACTAAATCCAGACATCACTTGAAAGTTCTTTTGTGTGACTGCACCTGTAAATAAAAGTCACAAGAGGTATCTCTTGCGGCTTTATCACCCTTCCTCTTCATGTTTTTGTTAATATGACCTATCCAGGCTCCTTATTGCTCTGTGCATAAAAACACTCAGATAAACGATAGATGTAGAAGCAAGTTTCAAACCAAATCCACATATAGGAAACTTGAAAACTCAGAGAACCATTTGCTTGTAAAGAAATCATATTAAGCTCACTGTAAACTTCCGCTCTATACAGCTGTACACAAAAGCCAGAGAAGATTGTGGCTTTATCACCCTTCCCATTCACTTGCTATTAACCCTGGTCCCATGTCATTTCATATGCAGTTTCTCCTTCTTGCATTGGAAATCCTTTTTCTTCGTAGTTTTGGGCTAAGTTTTGGAGATTAAATTCAACAAGTGTTCCACTACAACTGATATGGTTTAACTGGGTAATGAGGACTAAAGGGAACAAGTTTTAGCATGTTATTTGTTAAATTACCTTCCCTCTTGCTTCATTTTTTTCATGCAGATCAAATTTTCAAGAGCCAATTTTCAAATTTATCATACTACTGTCCGGTTCACTGACTTCATCATGTGTCATCGCACATTGTCCCATTTTTCAACTTTTATTAGACAGATTATATCTTCATATATTATCTTTAACATCATTCACAAGCAAAAGATTTCTGCATGTGAAAACCTGATCCAGATGGGTAACAGCGGAAGAAACCTTTGTTTTCCTAAGTGTGAAGTGGATTTTCACTTGGATGTATGAGAAAGTCCGAGTGATATCCCATACGAACATATATTCATTTAGGATTTGAGACTGGGATAAGTTCATTTGTCTGGACATATATAAATACATGCCTCTCCCAGTTCAAACTAAAAAGAATAATACTTAGAAAGCCAACCCTTTCATTGTTTTATTGAGGAAAACAGAAGTATTGATTTCTCTTACCTAAGATCTTCCATCGAACTTGACGGCTGTAATGCAGAATAAAGTGACTTCAAAACATCAGGTTGGCCATTCAATGAATTGTACTGATGGACACATCCTGTGTATCATGAAAAAAAACACATAACAAAAATAATGATCAATAACACACAACACATGAAAGTGAAGGAATGCGCCAAAGGATATGTAGTATCTAAGTTATCAACTTATTGCATGGTCTTTTGATCAAGTATTCTGGTCCGTTGTAGTCTACAGTCGTGTTCAAATGTTAAACAAGTGATTTTGATAGACTGCTGTGAGTTCCTGGGGCTGAGGCCTAATTAACAATCCTAGCTCATAACTTGGTGAAGAATAATGAAATTTAAACTATATATTATATTTATTTGTCACCCCATCATGCGTATTTGGGCCTACCAAATGAGTAGTTGCACATATTATCATATATGAAATGAGACGAGATTGTTTTGCATCCTTTAACGGGTGGTATTGGTCAATTCATCCTTTAAAATAATGATTATCTAATGCCAGGTAAATAGGATCCGAAAGTAACAGAAAGTAAGGGGCAATGTAAAGAAAAGGGAAACAATTAGATCCTTCTTTGCTCCATTTACCACTTAAGGTGCTTCTGCTAGACTTCTTCCCTTTACAATGAAATTTCATTTTTCTTTTATCACTGCATTTAGTTCTACAGGTTTCACATGTAACAATAGGTGTATCATCTATAAAGATAAAATCAGAAAATGAGACCAGTTGAACAAGTTGGGTACAAGCGTCCAGCATTGCAACAGTTTGTTTCTTTATTAGAATTTAACAAAAAAAAATTAAGAGAACATGGAAAATCAATATGGCCTCGTGTGGCTCTTAGGCTGAGTTCTGCATAAAAGAAATTCCTTATAGCAAATATTATCTTCTTATCTCTTCGTATAGCCTCTTTCATAGTATAGAAAAAATTGGAGGTCTGCTCCTATGTCCATAAGCTTTAAACTTAAAGATTCCGAAACCAAGTCTAACTGGGCTACTCTCTAGCCATCAATATTTTATGACAACATTCTCTCTTTCAAGTACATATAATCTCCAACAAACTAATAGAGGCATGAAGTCCAGTTGACATCAAGACTTGACCAGTTCTTTTGTGGAACATTCTTGACCTTAAGTCATGCAGCACATTCAACTTCATTTTGATGGTTAGGCTTGGAGAGCATGATGATGAAAATTACATGTAGGCTAACAAGGGATGAACTATGTACCATATTGATGGAAGTATTATGTATAAGAGATTGCATATGATTCATGGATAATACATAAACTTTGTATTGTTTACAATAAGTATTTAATTAAAGAATAACCTATTGAGATGCTTTAATTATTTTTCATCAACTCTGTTGTAGAGCCACTCACCTATGTATACACTCATGAAACATCCTGCACATATGACTTCAGCAACTATCACTATCCTGCAGAAGACATTGCAAATGGTAAGCGTTGTGCATTAACTTAGATTTTTCTCTTGTGCTACAATATATTATAGCAGATAAAGTCCAGCCACAAACATGCATATGAAGCCACACTGAAAAAGCACATGAATTTCATTCAATTTGCAATGTCAGAAAAAAATTACTTATCACATCATTAATTACATTTGGCCAAATAGGAACCGCCACATGATCTGTATCAGGCCTGTACAAAAACCTCAAACCAGATGCCATGCTTACCACCCAGGATTCAGCAATGTGAAAAACATGAGAACGGACTCATACACGCAACAGGCAGAAAACATGTCAAAATTGATACAAGCTTCGTGTTCTGTAAACATAATTATTTACATCATATCACAATGATTCTCTCCATTAACAATCCTAGTCCATAGTAAGTTATGATTAGGAAGTATACCCAGCTGAGTTGTAAACATAAAGAAGAATAGATTGATGGTAACAGACAGTGGTTCACACAAATGTAAGATAAGCAGTAAGATAGGTTACTAAGATATGGAATGCAGCATGTCCAGCATAACAAACATATAGAAATGTGTAATCAACAGTAACCTTAAGAAAAACTTGCTACAGATTTATCTGATTCATAATTATATGCTTTAAATATGAACCATACCTCAGCAATGTAGAGAGCGACAATATATGGAGATGTGGCTGCCAGACGACAACAAGAAGCATCAAAGCAGTTCCTACACAAAGTTAACAAGGAAAAGTTAAAATTCCACATGCGTTCTATGAAATACAAAACATATCAGCAATGGTTTTTCGTGGCAGCTATAAAAGGTAAAAAGTAAATTCGTGAAGTATCAATCTCATTTTGACATGCCAGAGAAAGGAAAGGAGGAATCCCGCAAAAAGTGTAACACCACTATCCATGTAAAACAGGAGGCATAATTCTTCTAAATAACCAATAATTTTGATATTTAACTGAGAAAATCCCATACCGGACACCAACAGTTACGTGAAGTTTCGTCAGAGAATTTAAGAGAACCAATATAGAGAGAACTGTTGCACAAATTTGTGCACTGACAGAATGGCAGGCAACTTAATAGCACTATAAATCCAGCAGTCTATAATGTGATAAACAAGACTGGTCGTCTGCACCTCCATTATTAAATAAATAAATAAAGGACGTGCTTACATGATTGCTAATGGATGCTATTTGGAGGGAGAGAATGTCATCCAGGACACAATGTGATGAGATCCATACAAAAATAAATGGTAATGAGTGGTCTTCTTGACAAATTAAAAGTCTTCCTTACGAGAATACATTAATGTAGATGTGATGAACAATGAAGGTCTCATGATTGAGATAGGTACAATTGTGAATGATCATGAACAAAGCAAACAGCAATTAGATGCATTTAAGTGCAGAAGATTTTGATCAAAGTGACTTCAACAGCCTACTTTCTTGCAGCATCTAAATAGTGATGTGTTTCCAAACAGTACATAAACATATTGCAACACGAATAATATGTTCTGCAATTCCAAGCTATTAATAATTATATATTTTGGATAAATATGCATAATGCTTAGACCATCCAAGTAGAAAGTATTTCTGCAGATAGTATTACTATGATTCTTAAGCACTTTGTACAGCAGTCGAGTTGCAAAGTAAAACCATGACAGGTACACATACCATAAGCAACAGCGGCAAATGGAAGGCGAGAAATGTGCTTCAACTTCTGGCTGAAAATGTAATAGCCCTACATCCCACAACCTTGATATCAGATATACGAACACAGTTGAAAGCAATGTTGAAGAAAACAAGCTATGTAACTCTTATTCCATGTTATATAAAATAGCAAAGCTTAAACGCTATGAAGAATTTTTAGATATCGCAGGCACATTGTAGAAACATTATGTTGTTTCAATACAATGTACACTGTTTTTATAATGTACGCTATTTCAATAAACATGCATTGTTTCAATATAATCTATGCTTTTTCAATATAACTTATATTAGAGACTTGAGAATATTTTCTATTACTTTGTTTGAAACTTGAAGTATTTAAGTACTAGATGCCTTTGTGATGCACAAGATTAAGGTATTACAACATTGTTGCATGCACATTGTGGTAATATTATGATTTGAAATGGTAATATCATCATTTGAAATAACTATACAAGATGAACACCCATCAAGATCATTTTCTCATTGGGAACTAAAAAGTAAGTCGAAACAAGTGCATGTAACTACATCCAAGATAAACCATCTTAATAATAAATGAGTTAGGTATGGATAACAGCATGGAAGCTAGAAAAGCATGGATATTATTTGTTTCTCCGGGATATAGTTTAGGAATGACAACCAATGTTGCATTTCTGCAATCAGTGGCAGTTATTTTATTAGAATAACAACCTTAAACGAAGAAATACTGAAACTTATAATTCTTCAATATGGCGGATCCACCTCTTCATCACAAGCCAGGAAATACCAAATAATGATGAAGATTTGAGTGCCGCCTTACATTATAACAATTTTCCCAATTGTAGACATGATAAACATTAAAGCAACAATTGCTTTATAAACTTTCAGACAATAGGAACGAGAAGAAAGTTCATATAAATTTACAAAAAACAAGTTGTCCAATATGCACTGCAAGCTTTACAGCACTTACCTGCAAACGAACTTTTCTGACTTGATAAACCCAATATTGCTGAAATATGCCTGAAATTCAGTTGTTGACAAATACAGGTGATTACTAATCAGGTCTATGATCCTTAAAAAATTTAGCTCATTAATACTGTTACAGAAACTCATATCCAATACAAGGCTCTTAGCACTTCAGATGATGCAAAGAGGTAAAACAAGGTAGATGCTGATCAAAGATAAGTCCATCATTCTATAAAGCAATCACTTCTTACTGACATGCCTTGATGGAATTGACTGTTACACGTGTCAGAAATTTTGCACGTATGGATGAGTTGATTAACTGATTAACTGGTCAGTTTAGGAGGAACAGGAATATAAAGCAAGATAAAGCCTGATTGTGAACCTGTAATCATTAGAAGAATGACATTACAACTGCACAGGAGTGTTGAAGTCAGTTTTGGTAAAAGGAAAAATATCCAAGGTGCCGCTGCAGCCACAACAGCGTAACCTGCCTAGA